AGTGGACTTCAACTCCCAGAATTCCTCAGCCAGCAAAGCTGGCTGGAGAATTCTGGGAGTTGAAGTCCACAAGTTTTAAAGTTGCCAAGGTTGGACACCCCTGCCCTATAGTATCTGAGATGCAAACAGTCATAACTCTATTGTCTTTTAGACTAATTTTCAAGCCCTCACTCTTGACCTAAGGCGTGGTATAAACTTAACTCTGTGTTGGTTGCCTTGTTTGAGTGTTTGCTGTTTCTCTCTTCAGTTGTATTTTCTCTTTGTTATGGTTTCCATTGTTGTTTGACTTTTTATGTTTTTAATCTGAATGCTGCTTAGAGTCGCTTGTGTTGGCAGATTTCAAATGTGATAAAGAAATAAGAAACGAAATGAAATAAATAATAGTTTCAGCAAAGGAAAACTGTACACCAATATCAGAGCAACACCTTTAGCTCCTTAAAGCGGAAAAGCTTCTGCTAATAGAGTGCACATAGAGAAAGACTCACAGCTTTTGCTATGACTTCACTGTGTTGTGTATTTACCAAATAAATCATAAATGTCTTCAACTAATTTCCAACCATCTGTAGTAATCATCAATTATTGCACTACTGAAAATACTGTGGCTACATTCTCCCACTTCATTTTTTAAAAGGTTAGATGTAACCACATAATTGTGACAGTCACTGCTTACAACTTTCCAGAAGAAACTTTTTTCCTAGGCATTTATGTATGCAGTGATTCGCAGCCTTTCTACTTCAGTAAGAGGAAGTGCAATGCCATTCTAATAGTGCTATAAACAGGAAAGTCCAAGTTTTGAGCTGCCACATCTATTAGGGTGATATTGCACAAATATGCTAATGTGAATACAACGACAAAGATGTGATGCTGAAACGAAACATACAAGTGGCGTTCTCTAGATTAAAGATTCATTATGTTAGAAAGATTTAAAACAAAGTTTGTGCTTAGCTCTAGGAAAGTGCAAGTTGTGGGAGGCTGCTTTAAAATATATACATATTTTCCCTTTTATATGAGATGGTAAGAAACTATTTGTAATTTTATTGTGTTAATAAAATATTTATGTGTCAACATTTTATAGCTGCTTCTGCTAGATGTTTGATATTGTAAAATCTTGGATTGTTCACAATCCATTTAGCATACGTTCCATTGTAGAGTGGCCTGAAATTATGTGTATATTCCTAAGGATAACATTGATTATTGTATCAGTTATCATTGTTCTAATTCTATTGCTGGAAACTGTTGAATTGTAAGATTAAATCCATGAAATAGTGTATATTTGGAGATTTGTCCTCTTCACCAGATACTAGAAGTTTATAATCTATAGTGTTTTGTATTTGGTGGGAGATATGTTGAGAAGAAAAATACTGTATAATTTTCTTGCTCTAAGATTTCCTCTTCTGTGCTCGGAGAAGTGTTCTCAATTGTACTGTTGAATCTCCAGATATATAAGAAAGGCATAGTATTAAAAATATAAATATGCTATTTTGTTGTTCAGATTTGGAATAAAATTATCCAAAAATATGGCTTGGGAGAAGTTTCTAAGTAAATTCCAAGAGCCTTTGCTGTTTGATAGTGGCCAAGTATCTTCTAAAAGAAAGCATCACAGGTAAGAAAGAAATTCTACTTGTAGATTCCATTTATTTCTATGCTTCCTGTAATGATCCTCTGTAACAGTTTTTACCGTTACATATACAGAGAAGAACAACGAAGATGGTGGGGTCAAATCCTCTGAAAAGCAGCTAAAAAACCTAGAAAATATTTAGCCTAACGTTTCTCAACCTTGGTGACTCTATGATGTGGGCATCAACTGCCAGAATTTAATTCTGGGAATTGAAGTTCACATATCTTAGAGTCACTAAGATTGAGAAATAGTGGTTTAGCCTAAAGTAGAGATAGATAAAGGGAGTCGTGATAACAGTGTTCCACCACATAAAGGGATGTCACATGAGAGTTTATTTTCCAGAGCACTTGAGAGTAAGAGGAAAAACAGTGGGTCACAGCTTTTCAGAGGGAGATTCAAATTCAAAATTAGGAGAAATTTCCTGACTCTGAAAGCCATGGACCAGCCTGCAGCTTAGAGCTGGGTGGCTTTCAAGCAAAAATTAGGATATCTGAGGAAGACCTAGACAAGGAAGGTGGTCTAGTTGACTTCCAAACTCCCTTCCAGCCCTATGATTCCATAATCCTATGTTTCACATCTTATATGATAGCAGATTCAGATGTGTCAAGAGTATAAACAGAATGCAGGCCGTTACAGGGGAAGATGCCTTGAATATATCAGTGGGATGTTTCACTCACCTGAGCTCATTCCCAATTCCTGGGCAGCATCCCTTGAGGTTTGGTTGCTGCTAGTGAATGCAAAGTCAGTCAATAATAAGGCTTCTCTTATTCAAGACCTTATTGAGGGGGAGGGTACACCTGGCATGCGTCACCAAGACCTCCATGACTCCAGAAGTGGAGGTTTCCCTCTTGGAGACGTTCCCAACCAGGTTTAGGGTTTGGCAACAGCCAAGACCCTGGGGTAGGAGAGTTGGGGTGGCAATAGTAATCCAAGAATCTCTTGTAGCACTCAGGGGCCTTGCTCCCCAAGTTTCTGGTTGTGAGTTACTGAAGCTGAGCTAATGGGATCAGTTGGGAATGTTACTACTGAACCAGCCTCCCTATCTGAGCTGTTGGAGGTTATCTTGGGGCTGGTGGTAATGTTCCCCAGACTCATGGTTCTGGGCAACACTAACCTGCCATCTTTGAGTGTGCCTCGGAAGCAGCCCAGGAGTTCATGTCCACCACGGTGGCCATGGGCTTATCCTAGATCATATTGGACCCAACTCAGGACGGTGGTTACATGCCAGCTATGATTTTCTTGTTGGAGCAATGGCAATGTGTTCTGGTGAGGGAATCTAACATTATCCCCTTTGCCATGGTCAGATCATGCCCTGGTGTCCATGAAATTATTTTATGCAACCCCCCCCCTCCCCCAATAGGGTGGCCCATGCTACATGACTGCTGGTTTGCTACCAGGTGCAATTCAAGGTGTTGGTCATTTCCTTCAAAGCCCTGCATGGCATGGGTCTAGTTTACACAAGGAACCGTCTTATCCCACTGGGAGTGGCCCACCCCACCTGCGCTGGCAGTGGAGGCATACTATCAGGCTTAGAAAACCTGGCTTTACTAAAAGAGATTGGAATATGGAGATCTGCTTTTGTCTTTCATTAAGCTTCATAAGATTTTGACAGATATTGTAAATTGTAGCACATTGTGTGGTAGATGAGGGGGGGGGGAGAGAATGAGACATTAAAAAGTCCTTACGCAATCTCCATCTGCTGATCACTCTTTGTATACAAGCATTTTGCACCAAAGCTTTGCACTGTGTGATTGTAGATTTTACATACAAGATAGTATTGCAGTGCTGGGGTTGACCTGCAAAATCAGTCCTTTTTCTCTTCCCAATCCCTCCTTCCTTCCTTCCTTCCTTCCTTCCTTCCTTCCTTCCTTCCTTCCTTCCTTCCTTCCTTCCTTCCTTCCTGTTGGATTTCATTCTATAGCGCTTACATCAGTTGGGTCTTGGGCGCTAAGTTTCGAGCACTGCAGAAAACAAGTCTACCTCTTCTTCTCTATAAGAACACTTCAAAAATGGAAAGACTGCTAACATGTCTCCCCTCAGCCTTCTCTTCTTTAAGTTAAACATACTAAGTTCCTTTTTATAAGATTAAGCCCCCACAAGCCCTTCACCATCTTGGTTTCTCTTCTCTGCATTCTTTCTAATTCCACACCGTCTTCTTGAGATATAGTACAGTGACCAGAACAGGACATAGTATTCCAGGTGTGATTTGATCCATGCAACAGAGAATGGAACGTCCCAGGATCTCAACATTATACCTCTCTTGACCCAGCCTAACTTTTTTTGGCAGCTACAGCAAACTTATGGACTTCTGCTTATGACTGCAGCTTTTTATTTCTTTTGGACCCAAAGAGGGGGTTCACTTCACTAGTTATTTCCTTAAAACAACCTTCTGAATGCACAACATATGTAATGAACTGTTATCCAGATTCCCAGGAGGGAGGGAGTACATTCCAGAGTAGCGGTCGCCAACCGGTGGGCTGTGGCCCACTGGTGGGCTGTGAGAAAATTTTGGTGGGCCACAGAGAAATCTCACCCCCCCCCCAGAGCACCCCCACAAAGCAATTCATCCAGGCTGTGCAGAAACACAAGGCTGCGCCGCCCACATGGCCCGCAGGAACCCTCCTCGCCCACTCACTCCTTACCCGGTAAACTTGCCTGCTAAATTGCTATTTTTCCTTTTTCCAACCATCATCTGTTCTGCTGTGCCGGGAGATTTAGATTAGCTAGGAAGCAGGAAATGGTTGGATTTCTTGCTTCCTAGCTAGTCTTTAGATCTTTGGCTCAGCACAGCCGAACCTCCCTTAGGACTGAAGGTATGCTTGCAAGCAAATTCAGTGCAGACTCACGGCAAGCAAATTTGAGAGACTGAGCTAGCCGATGGCAGATAGATAGATCACTGAATGATTCTGTGAGCAACTCAATCTGCCTGCTTTGCCTGATTTTGAGTAAAAGTTGCTCTCTTTTTAAAATAAAAAATTCAATATTTATATGCATGGTGTGTTGTGAGTTAATTTCGTGAGTTTGCTTGCAAACAAATTTTATGTGACTGACTAAGCTAGCCAATGGCAGATAGATAGATCTCTGAATGAATCTGTGATTCTGTGAGCAACTCAATCTGCCTGCCTGCTTTGCCTGATTTTGAGTAAAAGTTGCTCTTTTTAAAAAAAATCAATATTTATATAAATATTTATAATATTTACATACAAGCCATGCTCAGCCAGTCACATGACCACCAAGCCACACCCACAAATTAGGCCACGCCCACAGAACCGGTTAGTGGTCCCTGGGATCTAAAATTATGAGTTTGGTGGTCCCTGAGGTCCAAAAGGTTGGCGACCCCGTTCCAGAGGAACAAGAGAGAACTCAGTTTTGATAGTTTGTGTGACAGGAAGAAGATGAAGAGGCTGACTCTTCGCTAAGAGTTCCCAGAGTACATGTTTTGTGGTGCACCTACCCTGCTTTAAATGGGCAAGATTTCTATCTGTATTTGAGCAACAATAAAGAAAACTGCTTAGAAAGTGGGTCTTTCTTAGTTTTGGAAGCCTGACACATGAATGCATTCCTGGTGATATTAACCCAGGATTAAAGTTTTCTCAGTCTTGAGATGTGCAGTCACATCACGTAGTAGAATTCAAGTAATATTTTCCTTACAGAAGCAGAAAATTGGATGAAGCCTTGTCAAGTGATCGGATTCTCTTAAAGCTGCATGGACATATTCAAGATGCTTATTCTTCTCTGAAGAAGGCTTTTTTGATGCTTGACAGAGTATGAGTATTGATAAGATACCCCTCCTCTCTCCCCTTTCCTGCACAATTATTCTGTGTGGGATCTTTCAGACATTTTTAGTTTTGCATTGATCTTAAATTATTCCTGTTGACTCAAAAAGCAGGAGGTCATTAGCAAAAAATATTAAACTTTCCTCATAAATGAAGGCAAATATAAGTTTCAGTATAATGTTGCAAGATCCAATCTGGGTCAGTCATCAGGACTAGAGGCTTAGTCTTCCAAGCTTTTAGCTCAAGGAACTTCTCTTTCACAGAATGTGCTATTGAGTGTGTAGCATTCTGTGTGTAGCATTTAAGTGGTGCCTGGTTGTGTGCAGCTTTTTAGTTGTTGATTGGGGTGAGTTACGGGCTTTATGCTATCTTTTAATATTGTTAAATGCTCTGCTTATGTTTTTAGAATCAAGATGGGAAAATTACAAGAAATGAGCTTCGACGCATTTTAGATTGCATCATGTTTCGAATAAGTGATGATGATTTCCAAGAACTAATCAAGATAATTGATCCAGAGCATACTGGACATCTAAGCTACAATGAATTTTTAAACCTCTTTGAAAAAGATTCCGTAGTAAGTTCCATCACCGATCACTTATCTTTATTTCTTTCTGTTATAAATGATTAAAACAAAGAGCAAAGGTTCAAAAACAGCTCTTCCTAAGCTTTGGGGGACAGATTGACAAGAGAAAGCATAAATACCCCTCATTCATCTCACATTCCTTGGGATTCTCTTGAAAGCTGAGTTTTGCTATGAGTGGGGAAAACTTAGATCTATGAAGTTACAGAAGAGCTCAACTTGTGAGAGTCAATCTGCTGACAGCAGCAAGTCCAATGGTGGAATTCAAATTTTTTTGAATACTGTAAAATCTCCAGTCAGAGGTGGCATTTGCTGGTTCTCTGAACTACTAAAAATTTCCACTACCGGTTCTCCAGAACTGGTCAGCGCCTGCTGAATACCACCTCTGAGCAAGTCATACTATCAATCTTGAAAAATGTAAGAAGGATTGGGGCTGAGTCTCCTAAAAACAGTAGTGCAGGAGTGTCTGCAGGGTGTGGTAAATCCTGTATAAGAAACAGGTGAAGTTTTGATCACATAGTCATGGCTGCCATCTTGATATTTTTTTAACTATATCCTGTGGACCATTTTGATGATGATAAACAACTTCTGTGCTTTATGCTCAGAAAAGCCACATGGACAAATTTGTGAGGTCTCCAGGAATCAAGCCTAACTTGGAGGAGGCTTTACAGATAGTCCTTGACTTACAACTGGTCACTTAAGAGACTGTTCAAAATTATGATAGACCCCCAAAATGTACTTAGGATCCAGATTCAGAGTTCTAACAGCTGGGCCCCTCCTGTGGTCATGTGATCTCATTTTGGGCACTTGCATTTATGGCTGTTTGCAGGGTTCTGCATTCACCTTGCAATTTACAATGTTTTTTTTTGCTGGAGATCAGAATTTACTTCTAGAAGAAAAAAAACGCCTGTTGCAGACAATGGATATGCTTAACAACCATGTTGTTCACTTAATGACTACTACATTTACTTAATGACTGCCACCCAAAAGTCATAAAAATCAGACATGGTCATGCAATGACCCACTTAACAACTGGCATCATTTATGACCATAATTCTGGGCTCAGTTATGGTTGTATAGTAAATCGAAAACTATATTTCTTATGATAGTTTTGATTTACTATTGGTTTACTACTGAATGCCTCACCATATTGCCTTACCCAATAGACATATCCCCATGGTCACGTGATCATCATTCAGGTACTTGACAACTAGTATACATTTATGACAGTTGCACAGTCCCAGGATGATGGGATCACCATTTGTAACCTTCCCAGCTGGCTTCCAACAAGCAAAGTTAATGGGATCAGCCAGATTCGCCTCATAACTGCATGATTCACTTAACAACTGTGGCAAAAAAGCTCATAAAATGGACAAAACTCAGATAACAACTTCCTTGCTTAGCATGGAAATTTTGGTTCAATTGTGGTCGTAAGTCGAGAATTACCCGTATCAGTAAATTTCAGGCTTCCCAGGTAAGGGAGATACATCACACTGTACTGGTAGTGCAGTGGTTAGAATGCAGTACTGCAGGCTACTTCTGCTGCCTGCTGGCTGCCTGCAATTTGGCAGTTCGAATCTCACCAGATTCAAGGGTGACTGAACCATGCATCCTTCCGAGGTGGTAAAATGAGGACCCAGATTGTTAGCGGCAATAGGCTAACTCTGTAAACTGCTTAGAGAGGGCTGTAAAGCAATGTGAAGTAGTATATAAGTCTAAGTGCTCTTGCTGAGTGCTATACTGAGCATGCCCTTGTGCCATCTTTTGTGCCAGTTTTAATCTCCAAACTTCTGCCTAATCATCAGTATTCCCTCTAAGTTGGTTTTTTTTTAAAGTTTTTTTTTATTTTTTAAGACAAACATATACAAACAAAACATAAAAACATAAAACCATCTTCCATTTTATATACATACAGTGTGCCAGTTGGTTACAAATCTTTTGTGCTATCCTTTTGTAGTCATTACAGTTTATATCAATTTTCACATTGTCAAACTAACATATGCTTATATACCCTCTGAGTTGTAATGAATCAACCATATAGATGCTCAAAAGTCCATTGGTGAGTTTCCACTTATTTAAGGAAACAGAAACTCAAATCAAATCCAGTTGGCTAAGCTTTCATTTTTCATTTTATGCCACTGAATTGCCAGCTTTGTTGCCCTCTGAAACCTGCGTTCTTGTCCTTTGCTCTTAATAAAGGCAGGCTTTTAATAAATCATCTGGCTATCACATCAGCCACAGATTTTCCCACATAGTGGTGTAGTGCAGATTTTTAAAACCTTTATGTATTCTTTCTGACCTTGATTTTTAGAAACAAATATGAGAGAATTTTAATTTAACTTTTTTTTTTAATCCCATTAGACAGATTCAAAGTGGGCTAATACTTCAAAAAAGGCTAAAAAGCCAACTTCTGTCCTTGAAGCATGGAATATTGTAAGTAACAAAATGCTTTCTTTTGAAAAGTCACTCAAGAATTTTGATGTATTGGACTTTATAATTTCGCAAGATTCCAACTCTCCATAATTTGAACTTCCTTGCTTAAATGGTTTTATGCTAGGCAGAAGATGTTCTAACGGAGCAAGTGAAAGGATATTGGAATGAATTTAACAAAGCTCTGCAAGCATGTGATCCTCGAAGTGAGGGTATTATTAGCAGAAATAACTTCAGAAAGATCCTCCAGCTCTATTGCCCCTCATTAACAGATGACCATTTTATTGCGTAAGTAAATATTTTAACAAATATTCATTTCAAATGTGTGTTTTTTTCCTCCCCAACATTTTATTCTCGTCTCCCTCTGGACACCATCATTATTTGGCTATTTATTGTCATCCATATTTTTAAATGAGGGCCTTTTTAAAGTCCAAGATGAACATTGGTTCCTAGAAAATTTCCACCATACATTATGGGTTTCTCAATACATGATAGCTTTCTAATTAATTTTTGTTTCCCCATCTCACTCTTCCCACCAAGTTACAACATGTCAAACCTTGTTGTGGAATTGTACAAAATATGTTGCCATTATTCAGTCCATTTGGAAACTGGATCACTTCTAGGAAGTTGAGAACCAATTGCCAGAATATTTCTGTTGAGGTTAAGAAAGAAAATCCAAAATTGGGGGGTAGTTTTGCACACCCAGGTAGTATACAGAGAAAAAACTGACTGGAATTTGGGCAGAATAAATAGGTTTGGCCCTACCTAACATGCCTCTGTGCTATCAAAACCCAGAGCTGGGGATTTAGTAGAGGGGAAGAGGCATATTTACTTCACTCATTTGGGACCCCTGTGCATCTTAACCACTGTTGTAATTCTTCCTAAAGATATAGAAATGCAGAGATGAAAGAAACCATTGAAGTCATCTCACTCAAAACCATGTTCGGTGCAAGAATTGGGAAACTGAGTCATGAATTGTACCTTCCACTATTAAACCATGCTTGTTCTGATGGATAAAATTAGAGGACCCTTCTGGCGGCAAGGATCTCATTTTTGTTTTAATGTTATACTGTGCAAATCCTTGCCCTCCAGTGTCAGATACAAACCTCCATTTTCAGCTGGATGGAAGAGAAACGCAAAAATGATATGACTAATGATCGTGGATACTTAGCTGCAAAATATTTCAGTTCTGAACAACTTTGAATTAGTAGTAGTACCCCATTTCAAGCGTATATTGATGATTTTGAGTGTAAAGCAAAATACAATGGACATTTGTAAGTTCATCATTCCTGAGTAGAGCTGTTTAAGGTCAGAATACCCATTAAGTCAGGGGTCTCCAACCTTGCTTTGCTGGCTGGGGCATTCTGGGAGTTGAAGTCCTCCAGGCTTAAAGTTGCCACGGTTGGAGACCCCTGCATTAAGTGATTCAAACAGCCTGTTTCAAATTCAGCCAGCTCTTTCACACTCAGAATTATTGAGCCATGGTGGTGCAGTGGTTAGAATGCAGTATTACAGGCTGTCTCTGCTGATTGCCAGGAGTTCGATTCTGACTGCCTCAAGGTTGACTCAGACTTCCGAGGTCGGTAAAATGACGACCCAGATTGTTGGGGGTAATATGCTGATTCTGTAAAGCACTATGCAATATTATAAAAGTCTAAGTGCTATTGCTAATTAGAAACAGAATTGTTTTTGGGACCTTAGAGGTCAGCTAGTATAACTCCAGAGCAGAAATATTCAGACCATCAACCCAGACCAATAGTTGTTCAATCTTTCTTTAATAAATTCCAGTGATGGAGCTCCCACAATTCTAGGAAGGAAGCTTTTTCTGTTGCTTCATAGCTCTCATGATGAGGAAATTCTTTAATTTGAGTTTCCATGTCCCTCTATAAAGCTTCCACTCATTGAATCTTCTTCTACTATGGAGGCACTATTAGATATAAATTCATACCTCTTCCCTGGGCCATCCAGTCAAGGACTGGAGCTGGATTGCTATCATATTTGCCATTGGCCATCTCTTCTTTAGGCTAAACATATCCATTTCTGTTGGAAAAAACTACTATTACTCCCATGCACTTGGGGACGAGTGGAACTTCTAAAGGGAAGTTGGTTGTAGAAAGATGATTTTGGAGAAACTATACAGAGATTGTTTCAGCAACACCATATGCTTAAACCCAGGAAACAAAGAAAATGGCAGAAACTCAGACTAGCTGTGGCCTAACTCCCCAGGTAAAAGAGGGAGGAAAGGGAAAATACAAGAGCTGATTATTTGAGCCAATTTCAATAAAGGAGAGTACCCATCAAACTTTTGCAGAAGATTTTCTGACCTGGCCCACCTCAAAGTGTTCAGAAACCTCTGTCGCATTTAGGGACATTTTTAAGATGAAATGTCTAAAAAGCTTAGGTGACTAAACATGGCTTCCCCTCAATCCCCTGGCTTGTCTCTCTGTGCTATGGCTCTCATTCCATTAGGGACTGTTGGTCCAAGTAAGCCCTGGGCTAATGAAAGGTAGTGTTAGCTAGGGAAGATTTTTGTGGCAATACTGGCACAAAGTAACAAACTCCCTTGGTTTGGTAATTATTGTTCCATTTTAAGTGTTTATTTTTCAATTATTAATTAATTATACATATATCAGTCATTCTTTACATCTCATTCTCACAGGGTTAGGGTTGAAATATGTGGCTAAGTGGTATTTATATTTGCAAACTCAAGGTATGAAAAAGATACTAAGATGGGTTTTATAAGGAACTGACTGAATTAGACAAAATCCTAACAGGCACCAAAGAGAAGATGATCTAAAAACTATATGGTTATTTATTAGGAGTGAAATTAGAGGACGAGCACGTTAAAGAAACAATGATTGCATGGGGAAATTTTTTTGGATATGGGATAGACTTGGATAAATGGCAGACACTATGGACTAGAAACTACAAGTTAACTATGTCAACAGCCTACAAAGAGAACTTGTATAAGATGGCACTTACCCCCAGCGAGAATAGCTAACAGGTTCAAAGATAAATCGGCAAAATGTTGGAAATGTCATCAAATACCTGGATCATACTACCATATGTAGTGGATATTGACACTAAAAATATTGGACATGTGGTTGGAAAAAATGGTAGAATAACATATAGATTTAAAACCAGAGATGTTTTTATTGGGAATTTTGCCTGAAAGTTATAGTATATTTATAATATATAATATATAGTATAATATAACATATTTGATTATTAATGTATTAACAGCGGCTAGAATTGTATTTGCACAAAATTGGAAAACGAGAACATTCTGACAGAGGAGGAAACAATTAAGAAAATAATGGAATGTGCAGAAATGAGTAGATTGACAATGGCAATTAGAGAACAGGAAGAAAAAGCTTATTATAAAATTTGGAATTTATTTTATGAATGCTTAGACAGAAGAGCAAGAAACGGAAACATGTGATAATAGTAATAATATATTACAATTAATTGACTTAGATTGAGCAAGAGAATGAATATAATTTAGGTGATGAACCTAAATTATATTTTTGAAAGATAATAATTACAATATTAATATTGTATTTACAATTATTATATTATCATATAATTACAATTATTACAATTATTATATTATCATATAATAATTAACCAATGTGAGATAAAATATTGATTAGAATGGTTTTATATATATAAACATGTAAGAAATATATGATAATATGATTATGTGGACAGGTTGTATATGCCCAATCAATACACTGTTGAACTGAAATATGGTTTTATTTGTTTGTTTTTGTTGTTAAAAAAAAAATTGTGGCTGAATGCTGTGAGACGTTGGCCACACCGACCCAATCACACGGCCAACAAGCCACGCTCACAGAGGCACATGACCAACGAGCCACACCCACCAAGCCACGCCCACCAAGCCATCCCACAGAACCTGTAGCGAAACTTTTTGAATCCCATCACTGGACTAGATGGGAAGTCATTTGTATAGCTCAGACAAAGAAAACTGAGTATCTCAGAGTCTGAAGCCAAGGTCAAGAATGGAATGGCTGCTAAAAGCATAGAACTAAGCGGACCTGGGGTTTTTTTTTTGGGGGGGGGGTGTCTTCTTCATCCATGTAATGGAGTAGCTTCCTGACTGAAAGTGACAATGACCAGTGTGTCACAGACCTTCTGGAAACTGTTCAAGACTGAATTGCCCCAGAGAGCGTCTAGTAAATAAGATGATGCAGACATATGGTAGATGGTTCTATATTTGATTTGTATATTTTTAAGGATTGATTTTATGTTTACACCATGGATGTTTTATTGCATTATTGTATGTTGTTGTGAATACTGAAACTCCTTTTGATTGCAGCAGGCACAAATGGATTGATTAAATAAATAAATCTTGTCAGTTTGGCAACTTTCAACAATATGAATTACAGTAAGAACAAAAATAAACCTAGCCCTAACCCTAAATCTTTACACCTTTCACTTTCCATTTACTATGCCCTCTGTAAAGTGTCCTGGTAGCCAGTAGCTTGCAGGTTAAGTCACTAAATTTCCCATAAATCCAGTTCTTTAAACAGCAGAAAGTCAGATATATTGTTTTATTTCTGCAAACTGCCTGGGTTTAAGATGGTAGCAGACTAAAAATCTAATAAATCAGCAATTTTGACATTGGAGGTTGTACAAATATCTACCTTCCAAGATGGATAATTTCAGGCCCCTTTTGCAGCCAATTATCATTAGGATGACAAGATTCATACAGAGTTTTATTAACCAGGTTTATTGAGAAGAAGGAGGTTAAATTACAGAATCTTGGAAACTGGATTTATGTATTTTAGTGCCCCATCAGTCAATAATGTGTTACAATGAGAATCTTCTTGCTGACTGCCTCTTGGAGTCGTGGGAAGTTGCAGCTAACTTTTCTGAAATGGGAGGATGTGCAATTTTTTGGTTGTGTATTGTTTTGCAAACTCCCACACTCTTCCCCAGGCTCTGAGAAATCCATTACAGACAGTTATGTGTAATGTAATCCTGATAGTCCTCGACTTAGTGAGTTAACAACTGTGTCAAGAAAGGTCATAAAATGGGTCAAATGGGACTTAACAAACATCTCACTTACCAACATAAATTTTGGGCTCAGTTGTGGTTATAAGTCAAGGACTAGCTATAGTAGGGAAGTTGCTTGACTAGAACTAGGGTATTTGTGGCCCGTCGGCAGCTAGTGGAGCTGGCAGAAGAGTCGTACAGTGAGGAGGTTGAGGAGGAACATGGGCCAGTCCTGGAGGCTGAGGAAGGCTTGGACGAGGGCTCCACGTCAAAGGCAGACATGGGGCCAGGGCAGGCTGGCAGTTATCAGTGGCCTTCAGAGTTGGACAGCAGGGAGGTGGGGAAGCAGCTGGAGCCAGTTCCCAGCCTGCACATGCGCAGAGCTGCCAAAAGAAAACAACAATTACAAACTAAGGGTCAATGTGGGAGTAAGGCCACAGGTGAACAGTGAATAGCCCCTCCCATAGGGATTAAAAGAGGAGCAAAAGGGGAGGAGGCTTTTGCAGGAAACCATTCATTCGTTCGCTGCAGCCGTGTGAAGATCTGTCTGTGCATCTCAGAGACTCTCTGCTGAGTCCTTCCTTGTCAGCACTGCGTCTGAAAATCTTTACTTGGCAGCTTTCCAGGCTGGATAAAGTCTGTGCTCCTAATTAGATCCTTGAAAGACTGTTTGCCAGGCCTTTGGCTGAATGTAAATGCAAGATTAATGTTTAATGCTTTTTTGGGAAGCCTAGGTGGGAACATAGGGAGATCCTCAAGTCTGTCCTCCTTCAGCCATGAAAAGGCAATGGCTGACTTTGATTTCAGGCCAACCTATTACAGGTAGTCCTCTTTCAATGGGTGTCCTGTTTAGCATCTGTTCAAAATTACAGTGCTTCATTACTAAATTAAAATTAAAGTAGCTTCATTACTGGTCTTCATACCTGAAATTGTGGCAGTGTTCCTACTGTTCGGTGATTGAGAATCAGCTGCTTTGCAATCAGCATGCATTTAGAATAGAATTAGAACAGAATTCTTTATTGGCCAAGTGTGATTGGGCACTCAAAGAATTTGTTTTTGATGCATATGCTCTCAAGAAAAAATAAAATACATTCATCAAGAATCATAAGTACAACACTTAGTGATAGTCCTAGGTTACTAATAAACAATCAAATCATACTAGGAAACAAATAAAACAATATAAATTGTGAAGATACAAGCAACACAGTTATAGTCATAAGTGAGAAGAGACAGGTAGTAGGAAGGATGAGAAGAAGAATAGTAATACAGTCTTAGTAAATAGTTTGTCAGTGTTGAGGGAATTAAATGTTTAGCAGAGTGATGGCATTCGGGCAAAAACTGTCCTTGTGTCTAGTTGTTCTGGTGTGCAGTGCCCTATAGCGTCGTTTTGAGGGTAGAAGATGAAACAATTTATGTCCAGGATGTGAGGGGTCTATAGATATTTACAACAGTCATTATCCCGCAGTCATGTGATCACTATTGGTGACCCTCACAGCTAGTTTCTGACCACTAACTCAATGAGAAAGCCCACAGTAAAATTGCAAATTGCAGTCACAAGATGTATCACTTAATGACTGTGGACGATTTGCTTAACAACCACAACAGAAGTGGCATCCTTAAGTCTGTTGCAGGCACATATCGAGTAGTTTGGGGATTGTTAAGCAACAGCTACCTTACTGTGTGGATAAAATGAAGAGAAATTGTCACATAAACTATCCTGAATCTCTAAAGCAGAGGAGTTTTTTTTTTTTTTTTACACATCTTAAAGTTGCAAAAGTTGAGAAATACGGCTCCAAAAATCTGGAGAGAATTCTAAATGCCCATATTCAAGTGCTATTTTGCTTCGTCCGATTCATTTGTTAATAAAAAAAAGACAAGTGAATTGATAGGGCTATAAAGATACACTGAATGGGGGAGAATAGATCGCTCTGGAACACCCATTTTTGATAGCTCAATGCTGTTTGGCCTCAGTCTTTCTAAGAACTACTTCTTGCTGTTTGGTCCTCTCATCTACCGGGATTGAATTATTCCTCTGGGCTTTCCTTCACTTGCCCCTCCTTGTGGCACCCGTTTCCTTGTCAAAGTGTCTTTTCTGCTGCGTTCCCATACCATTGCTTTCTTCTCCTCCCCAGCCCGGAAGTGGGTGCCTTTAAACTGTCCTCATTTCCTGGACATTCCCTCTTATTCTGACCATCCATAGCAGCCTCAAGGAAGGTACTGTAGAGACATTTAAACTCTGTTGGGCTTTGTCTCATGATATGTTCCCATATCTCCCCCAAAGAAGAGACAGTCGAGCTATTCTCCAAAGCACCAGAAGGGCAGGACAAGAAGCAATAGGTGGAAACCAATCAAGGAGAGAAGCAAGAGGATAAATTTCCTGACAGTTAGAACAATTAATCTTGCCCCCAGAAGTTCTGGATGCTCCAACACTGGAAGTTTTTAAGAAAAGATTAGACAACCATTTGTCTGAAATGGTATAGAGTTTCTGCCTAAGGAGAGGGTTGCACTAGAAGACCACTATTCTATTCTGTTCTGTTCTATTCTATTCTATTCTATTCTATTCTATTCTATTCTATTCTATTCTATTCTATTCTATTCTTCTATTCTACTCTACTCTACTCTACTCTACTCTACTCTACTCTACTCTACTCTACTCTACTCTACTCTCCTCCACTCCACTCCACTCCACTCCACTCCATTCCAGTCCCCATCCCCATCTCCATCCCTCTTCCCTTGGAAACAATGACTAGAAACAGAGGCCAGAGATGGAGATCAAGGTAAAGGAATAGGGAGAGCCCCCTTCAGCAGTGGTGAAAGGCCCTTATCCAAATTCACCTGTTTGTGGCAAGGAACAGTGGATGGCACTGTTCCTTCACAAACACAGAGCTTCTGAGAGATTCTGGATCCCTTGTTACAGAAGTCAAGTTGACATGACTTCTAAGCATTCTGCAAATAAAAGGTAGGAAGACTCTTGCAGGTTTTGTAATCAGAAGATGTAGGTCAAACAGTTAAGGCTTCTGCTTTGTGATATACAGCAGATAGCATTTTGGCCTTAATTGGGTCCTGCTGCACCTCTTCAGGGCATATGGCAATTTTTTTTTTTGCCACTGAGACTGGGTGACTGGCATATGTGTTGCAGATGGTTATTTGGCAGGTGATATTCAGAATGAAAAGCAGTAATGAGATTAAAGATGCTTCAAATGCAATTCTGCAGATAGCATTCATTTTTGTATCTATTTTTCCTTTATGCTGAGGTGCTGTATGTTCACATCAACTGAAACCTAAATGGGCAGTCCAGTTAGTAGAAGTTCTGTCCCATTCTCCCCTTAATATATTTTAAATGTGGCAATTTAGGAGGTTTTTCTGCCTTTAATGAAAAGTTATTTTGTGGTACAGCACATAGAACCGCAGTAAGAAAAATCATCAGCATTCAGAGGTTATTTGTTGGTATTCTTACATTTGAGCCAATTTAAAAGATATCTGATTTGCTGTGAAAAGAATATTCAGCAACTGTTCCTGAAGAGTTTTTTTTTAAAATCTGTTCTTGATTTTTTTAAAAAAATATTTACTCACAGTATTAATCACTTAACATGTTCACTGGACTATTCAGTTCAAAAAATGCACACACCCCCCCCCAAAAAAAACCCCTGTAAGAGCAGAAAGCTAGTTCTTGAAAAATAAAAGGTGCTTTACCATGTGAATCATATATCTTTGTTCTTTATCACAGGTGAAATTTTAGTTGATTAATAGCACAACCATAGAAGAATTCTTTTGGAACAAAGAAACATCAGACTTTGGTACATGGATATAAAGGGACAGAGAGGGTTACATTTATGAGATGCATTATTTATCAAGGGAAACAATGATTATAATTGTTTTGAATTGGTGATGTGCAGGTTGTACCAGAAATACCAGGATGATACTACGGAAGGGGTTCTCTACAAGATGCTCTTGCACAGTTTGGGAGTGGCCGATTTGCCAAAAGAATTAATAGCTGTCACCAGCACCTCTTCACTACGAGAGAATCAACAGGCAGAGGAAAAGAAGCCAATGGATCTTCCAGAGAGGTAGCCCATCTGTGACTGCTAAAGTAGAAATGTAATAATTATCCATAGGAAAATTTAGCTTTAGAACAGAGATCTCCAAACTTGACAACTTAAAGACTTGTGGACTTCAATTCCCAGAATTGAATGCTGGGAGTTGAAGTCCACAAGTCTTAAAGTTGCCAAGTTTGGGGCCCCTGCTTTAGAACATCTGGTTTTTCTGAATGTTCCTTTGATGTTCTATATGGAAAAAAGTACCCCAACTGTTGCTCTTGTTGAAGCCCCCTGATCCCCTGGGGTTCCACAAAATCCCCCCACTCCTGGAAGACAGCGTCCATCATCTGCTCTAAGCAAATCAAAGCATCTCAGCGGCCTAAAATGATCTCAGAAAAGTGAGCAAGAGTCAGATCTGGTTAGTGGTTGGAAGGGAGACCACACAGAAAGCTAGACTGGGAAGTTGAGAAGTTATTTCTTAAGCAATAATAATACTATTGCTTAAGAAAACCACGCAGATCCACTAGGAGTCTTGCTTGACTCAAATGTGTCTTTGTCATTGTTTAATTTGCCTATTTATTGCCTCCCCTTCTAGCTTGGGGCTGCAGTTCAGACTGATTGTTTTTTTGTTGTCTTCTGAGAGAAGCATTAATAAGGAATATCTTTATTTTAAGTGAAAACCTAGAGTTTTTGCATGTTATTGTATTAATATTGTATAATGCTTGACCCAACAAAATCAGTTTTGCACTTATTCTATTATTATTTTAGGGCATTCCTTGACTCTGGATAAGATTAAGGCTGATGGCTTAATTTAGTTTAGTTTAGTTTACTTTATTGTCATTGCACCTCGTACAATGAAATTAAATACCATCTTCAGTGTACATTATGACTATGAAAGTAAACACAAACAAACATCCTTCACATTCTGTACATTGAATTGAAACCCCTGATATTGCATTAATATTGCACTACACAGTAGAATTCAATAGAGTTACTGCCCTGGGATAGAAGCTGTTTTTCAGCCAAAATATATTATATATTTATAATAGATATTTTTATAGGGAGATTTAGAAAAGGCATATCTCTTAATGCCCGATAACTAACTATAAATACAGGTAAGTACTGTACGTGATGTCTTCTTCATCTGTTGTGGCTCCTAGTGCCTTCATGGGTGTGTTCACTCATGTCCTACTTTTCCTTCAAGGAGTTCCCTTAATCTCCTCTCCAGTTTTCATCACCACTGCCTTGTGAAAGAGACTGAGAGCACAACTAGCCCAACATCACCCCATGAGTTTATCCAGATGTGGGAGGAGTTAAGTCTTCTTATTCCAATGCACACAAAGCACAGATGGGGTTTCAATCATACCATCACAGCCATCATCCTGACTTCTTGGACCATACCATGCAGATACCTCTGTTAACCACTCTTCCAATTTTAGAATGAAGCAAATTGAAGACCACATCTACAAACAAGCCAGGAATAGAACCGCTGATGAAGTCTTCGAAAGGCTGAGGGATGGCATCCTGCATCAGGAAATGGGCATGAGGGATGCCTTCCTTGCTTATCACAAACAAGCTAGCGGGAAGTTGAGTAAAACTGATTTCCGCAAGGTAAATAGAATCTTATTTCATTTTAATTTACTCTTGCTCATTCAAACCAACTTAGTCTTTCCTCTTTCCTCTTAATAGCTTCTTAATTTCATTTTAATTTACTCTCGGTCCAACGTTTCTGTTTTGTCTTTTCTCCTGATAGCTTCTCCGCTTAGGGCGCTGCTTTTGTCTTGGCCTTACGAAAAGTCTGTAAACAGTTTAGGGGGCTTTATATTTCATACTTTCCATCCTCCCACTCATATCATTTCCACGTAGCATTGCATACCTTTTCTGCTACCATCTTCATTTTGTAGCTTGGACTTTATCACGTTTAACTCATCAAAAGAGTCCATGAAACTCAGTCCAGTGCAAGAGAAATCTGAGGGGCAAAGGGGAATATTTGAAGGGCATTTAGTGGCCCCTTTGCCTAAAAACACCATTTAAGTCCCTGTTAGGGGCACTTAGGGTGCTCAAGAAATCAGCCACAAAACAGCAGAATCAAAGCCACGCCCCCTTTCTTTACAGCCTGGATGTAAATAACACTGATATAACTGAATATTCTTGTATGCTGGCACCCTAAGTGAAGATTTGTGAATGAAATATATGGGTATCTTATTTATTGGTTTCAGAAAGGATCTTGTCTTTGCAGTTGCAACAATGGCCATGAAATGGGGTTATATGTGGGCATTCCATTGTGCATACTGCATCTCTTGGAGTAACTCAACGATACACCACAAGGAAATGAATGTTTCTTTCTCATTTCTCTGCTCTTGTAGCTCTAAAATTAAACATTCGATCTGATAGCAAAAGCTATACTAAAATACAAAGCTGCTAATCTCTTTTTAAAGGCTTTCAAAATCTCCTGAAGAGTGATAATTTGTTAATTAGCACATTCTCACTTTTTTTTTTCCACATTTTTAAGCCAGTCAGCCATTCAATGTTTCTTTTTTCTCCAGTGGTACATCAGTAAAATGAAATAGAATTGCAAGAACAATTACCACTGAAGCTATTACAAAAGGACTAAAAAAAATACTGTACAAACACAAGAGAACACGCTCAAATTAGAAAAGGTGGGGAGACTTGGAATTATTAAGTGGAGAGAATTACAAACTGAATTCAATTCTGTTACTGTATTTTTAACTAGCAGTTTCTACAAATTTTATATTTTCAAAACCACACCAAACTATGTTACTGCAAATTTACTAAATGATGGGGATTTTGTGCATTTTTAAGCATCAATGGCTTTTTCTTGAAAGAAAGTTTTATTTGTCTAGCATGGTGGGCGTTCCTCTATTTTGAATTCAATTCAAGGGAGTAGATAATATGTATATGGTTAGTATCAATACATTCCAAGGGTTTGTATCCAGCACAGTGTTTAATCTAATCATCCTTTTTCTCCCTGGCAGCTACTGGAGGATATTCAGATGCCAATGAGTGATGATCATTTTAATCTATTAATTGAAAAAATAGGATTCCCAGTTGGAGGCTTGAGTTATCTTGATTTTGTAGTGATGTTTGAAGGTAAGCAAATACATTGCTAAGTAATATATTGATTCTCAGATACGGATGTTATATCTGCTTCTGTTTTTTAAAATTCAGCGGGAAATTAATCATTTTGTGATAAAATCTGACCAAATATGTAATGCACTTGTCAAATTCCAGAGAAATGAATGAACAAGGAAGCATTGTGATTGTTAGCTGAGACCAGCCAGCTGTGTGGGGTGGAAAACCCATAGTTTAGACAAATTGGGAAGACAACAACTGTTGGTCTTCTGAACTAAAAAGAAGAGAAATTGGCAATGGTCCTGCTTGAGTTACATTCTCTTCTGTCAGCAACTAAGAAACTTTCTCCTCTATTCAAGAAGCAAACAAAAAAGAAAACCCATGAATCTCTTTCATTTCTTGTATTATGCAAAGAAAAAAAAAGGGGGGAGGGGGGCTGATAGAATCTTTTCAAACTAACACACACTTTATTAAAAGACATCAGCTTCTGTGAGATGACAGGAACTTGGCTGAAGCTTCTCAAAAGCTTGACATGACTAGGAAGGAATCAACTTTATTGTACAACACAACTGGAGCCACTTCAAGGAGTTAATTGCCATCCTGACATCTTAGAAAGGAGTAGTGCCATATACCTGCTATATACCTGCTATATATCTAGAATCTCCTTGAAGCACTTTCTACAACACAAAATAATGGCTAAGGATGTCTGGTTCCAAATCAGAATCACATAAGCTGATGGCATCTAAAGAAGGGTCTGTCATGATAATCTTAATGAGTGGCAAAGGTATCCTGAAAAAAACCCATGCTCTCCAAATTCCACAAATACCTTTGGAGCAAGATTGAAAACAGACATGCTGTATCTTGCTCAATTCTCTAATGCCAGCGTTGTTGAGAGTCAGAAACTATAGAGAATCATGTCTGGTTAGTATTTGGATGGGAAAATCCATGCGTGTAAGGTAGATTGGATAGTAAAAAAAAAACAAACATAATGGAAGAAACAACAACAGCCACATTAGCGATATGGCAAAACATTACAGGTTTGTGCTTATAGTCCTCCTCAGGATTTGAGTTCAGCTTGAAGGAAATGCTATCTTTTGCGTATCTAAGGATCTTACTTTTAACTATGTTGAATTTCATTTTGTTAGATAGCGCTCAGTGAAATTGGTAATATGTCATCCTTTTTATTTGAAGGTTGGTGCCAGATGAATCTGGGGTGGACAGATTGGCTAAATCTGGATCTGAGGTGCTAAAAAGTAGTCTCCACTTGGGATATTTTAACCCTTGGGATATTTTAATCAAAGAATGGAATGGATGAATAAGGGCAACCATAACTGATTCCTCAGTCTTGCAGTTCTATTTATAAACATGGATTCTGTGAAATTCAAGAGAAAGGGTGCTGGCAATTCCCTGGTATTGTCAGGCATGACAGATCAGGTCTATATATAAAGGTACAGTTAAACTGGTATATTGCTATGTCCAAGAATCTTCTCAACTAATGGTTTACACCTGCTTGGGGTTAGATAAGGGTCAACAGAATTCAAAGGAGGTTGGACTTTGTGTAGGGATTCTAGCAAATCTTTTAACTCTGCCCTCAGGTTCTGCCATTCCTTCTCCTATAAGTATGTACAAACAGGAGAGATTTCCTATTTTGAGAGAAGAGAAATTTATAGAATAGTTTATCAAGGTTTGGCTTTTCAATGAAATGAAATGTTTAAATTGTATGCAAATGTGTCTCAGATTAGCTTTTGACATATCTATGGAGTGGTAGCTACCAAGAACTGAAAGGACACTATTTTAGGTATCTTTTGAATTGCACAGAGCTGTAATGATTGAACTATTAAACAGCTATTCACCAGGCCTGAAAAGAAGAAAAAAAGAAGAAAATTTCTAGATGATGGAGAAGGGAGGACTTGAAGTCAAGCTGAATTATTTTTAAAGGCAAGAGAGTGATCTTTATGACTTGGAAGAAAGGAAGGAAAGTCTTTGGTGTTATTTTAAATACTGGTGATAGAATTTTTCCCCACTTCTCTTGTGTAAATCAAACAGGATGTAATATTTCCCAATGTTATATGTTGAAAATACTAGCTTCGATGCCCATATACTATATTTACTAAGCTAAATCCAAGTTTAGGGTTATTATTCTTAACCAGGCAGTAACTCCTCTGGATTTCCCCTGACCAGAGGTGGTATTCAGCAGGTTCTGACCAGTTCTGGAGAACCGGTAGCAAAAATTTTGAGTAGTTCAGAGAACCGGCAAATCCCACCTCTGACTGGAGATTTTACAGTATCCTTCCCCTGCCACGCCTACCAAGGCTCGCCCACAGAACCGGTAGTAAAAAATTTTGAATCCCGCCACTGCCACTGACATAATTTCATAGATTTCTGGGAATGTGAAAAACATTTCTTGAAGACTTAAAACACTGGGCCCTGTATAATAAAATGAAATTTAATGTAGAGAAAAGTAAGCTTTTACACTTAGGCAATGAAAGCCAATCATATACGTATAGATTAGGTGAAACTTGGCTTAATGGGATCTTAGAGTCCTTGTGGACAATTACTTAAATATGAGCCAAAAGTATGAGGCAGCATCCCAAAAAAGACAATGCAACCCTAGGCTGCGCTAATAGAATCAAGAATAGAAGAATAGAATCAAGTCCGCTTGCAGTTCTCATACTGCTTTACAAAACCTTAGTAAGACCACACTTGGAATACTGCAATCGGTCTGGTCACCACAATATAAAAAAAATGTTGAGATTCTGGAAAGAATGCAGAGAAGAGCAACAAAAATGATCAGGGGGCTGGAGGCTAAAACATATAAAGAATGGTTGCTGGAATTGGGTATGTCTAGTCTAATGAAAAGAAGGACTAAAGGCAATAGCACAGTTTCAACAGTTTCAATATTTGAGGGATTCCTACAAAGATAGGGGCGGGTATCAAACTATTTTCCAAAGCACCAAAAGGCAAGGCAAGAAACAATGTTTGGAACCTAACCAAGGTGAAAAGCAATCTAGAACTAAGGAGAAATTTCCTAATGGTGAGAACAATCAACCAATGGAATAGGTTGACTTCCAAAGTTGTGGGTGCTCCATCATTGGAGGCTTTCAAAAAGAGACTGGACAGCCATTTGTCTGAAATGGTATAGGGTCTCCTGCTCAAGCAGGGAGTTGGACTAGAAGACCTCCAAGGTCCCTTCAAACTATTATTTGTTCTATGATCTATCACAATTACTTGAAATACCAGAGATCTGGGGTTTCTCTCCAACGGTCAACAAGCAAAATCTTTGAAGCAAATCACATGTGCATATGCACACATATATATGCAAACATTTTCCCATACAAACTTGATTTTTTTAATGTCATCATTTTGTGAAAATAATCCCCAGAGTACCAGCAACCTTATTGCTCCTATAACATATCCAGTTCTAAGCTTGTTCTCTGTGAATGTTAGAGAGTGTTTGTATAGTTATTTTACTATTCTACATGTATTGTTAGCAGTCTTAATTGTGCTCAGCCTTACAGAATTCTTGTTAGCAATCATCGATTATACCATAAAGTAAAATGGCAATTAGAACAAGATCCTTCTTTTTTAAATTAAAAAAAAATCACACCATACAAATTAGCCAGAAAAACTCTACATATGACAATTAAAAGCATTTTCACAGAGAAAAACAATTCAGCTGCACAACAACTGACAAAAGATGCATTTTACAATATTCATTAGCTCAAACAAAGCCACTTTTTGCCAAGCAGTAAAACTAGCAACTTTTGCAGAAGTGCTTTGATTTCCCAGATTTCTGCACTGGACAGATACTTCCACTTCAACATTGTATTGTTCATTGAATATTCGATATTATTCCACCATTCATGTCTCCCCTGTACTAGGGCAAAGGTGCCTGTAAGGAAGGGATAAAGTCAAAATGGCGGGAGAAACCGTGAGATCAAAGCCTAACCCTGGTTTTACGTGGTTTTATGTGTCACCTTTAGGGGAATTGTCTTGCAGGGGAAATGAGTCCTACAGGTGATATGAAACTGAAAATCTCTGTCCCTCCCTGTTATACAAGAGGCATTTTCAGGAGACAACCAGGAGCACAGAAATCCTTCATGGTTTGTCTGGGCCTCCGCTTCACCATATAAAGAACGGATTTGGGCAACCTATATCTTTTTTCCTTGAAGGAAGTGCAGGCGGCCTTGGTTTCAAAAGGCTCAGCAGCCTCACCTCACATAGTTCCTTCTGAGGAAGACACCAGGTGTCTGAGAGAAAACCACCTCACTCTTGCAGGTGTACCAGAGCTAATGTCTACAGTTTATGAGCTTCACCAAAGGGAGGGAGAGCAAGGGGGTAGGGAAGAGAGATTGGCTTGATTCAGATCTACACACAAAGAGGGTTTCTGTGAAAGATTTGCAGTTGGGAAATCTATTTGCATGTACTTTGATTGCACCCCAGAATCATTGAGATGAGAGTTCTATGTACTTTGCCTGGTGCTGATGTACCCAACAAAATGCACACAAATAATCAGTGCAAGTCCCCTTATTAAAACTGCATGTTCAAAATGAAAGCTAAGCTGCATGGGGGAAACTTATATTCCCTGTCAGATATAGTCACAGGCACAATTTCAGTCTATGTTCCAGGCAAGGGGAGATAAACCCAGACTGAAAAATGGAAAGAGGGACGCATACATAAGGCAGCATACTAGCATATAGCCCAAATCTACAAAGATGAAGTCAGGAAAGCAAAGTGTCAGAACGAACTAAGACTTGCAACAAATGTCAAAAATAATTTTTAAAAAGTTTATTTCAACAAAGAAGAAGAAGAAAGTCAAAGAAACCATCAGTCCACTAATGGGAGAAGATAGCAGAGCTACTTTATTCTTTCTTTGCATCTGTCTTCATACCTACACGAAAAGTAGCCCAGCCTACCAAAAACAAAACTGTAAAAGACAAGACTAGGAATTCAAATTTAAATAGGCAAGAAAATGGTAAGAGAACACATATCTATTTTAGATAAGTTTAGATCATTACAACCTGATGGATTACATCCCTGAATTCTGATGTAATGAGTTAGTAGGCCTGATCTTGGAACCATTGAACCATATCTTTCAAAAATCCTGGAGCATGGGGAAACTATCAGAGGACTGGAAAAGAGCTGATGTGATTCCCATCTTCAAAAAAGGGAAAAAAACATCCAGGAAATTACAGATCAGTCAGCCTGACATCAACATCTGGGAAGATCCTGGAAAAAATGATTAAACAACAGTTCTGTGAACACCTAGAAGCAAGCAAAGTTATAACCAGAAGCCAACATAGGTTTGTCAAAAACAGATCATTCCAAAGAAATCTTACTTTGTTATTTGACAAAGTGACTAAATTAATGGACCAACGAAATGCTATGGATATAATATAATTGGATTTCAGTAAAGCATTTGACAAAGTAGACTGCAATGTACTTCTTGGTAAGCTAGAAAAGTGTGGAGTAGACAGCATCACCACCAAATGAATTTGTAACTGGCTGACAAACTGCACGCAATGTTTAGTTCTTACTGGAACTATATCTACATGGAGGGAAGTACTTAGTGGTGTCCCCCAATATTCTGTTTTAGGCCTTGTACTCTTCAATATCTTCATAAACATTTTAGACAAGGGAATAGAAAGAGAACTCATCAAATTTGCAGATGACACCAGGTTCATAGAGCTAGCCAGCATCCCAGAATATAGGCTTAAGATCCAGATGGATCGACAGTGGGACCTATCTAACAAAATGAAATTCATTGTAGAGAAAAGTAAGGTTTTAAATTTACACAAGAAAAATCAAATGTACAGGTACAGATTAGGTGAAACTTGGCTCAATAGCAATAACTACTAGAGAGATCTTGGAGTCTTAGTAGACAATCACTTAAATATGAGCCAGCAGTGTGCTGCAGCTCCCTAAAAGCTAATGCAATCCTAGGCTGCATTAACAGAGAGATAGAATCAAGATCACATGAAGTGTTAGTACTGTTTTATAAGGCCTTGTGGCATGGTCAGACTTTGAATACTGCATCCATTTTGTCACCACAATATAAAAAGGATGTTGAGACTCTGGAAAGAGTGCAGAGAAGAGCAACAAAGATTAAGAGGCTGGAGGCGAAAACATGGAGGATAGTTGCAGGAATTAATTAACTAAGGAATTAAGAGGCATGCATAAAGTGCACAACTGTGCCTATGTCCCTTTCCTATTGTCCCCATTTTTTCATACCCATTTCCTGTATTCTTACTCATGTTTATACTTATACCTATTATCTTGTAAGCAATTGACAAATCAAATTTTAAAAATTGGATATGTCTAGTCTAGTGAAAAGAAGGACTAGGGACGGTATTATAGCAGTCTTCCAATGTTTGCAGGGCTACCACAAAGATGAGGGAGATCAACTTATTTTCCAAAGTGCCAGAAGGCAAGACAAGAACCAATGGATGGAAACTTATCAAAGAGAGAAGCAACCTAGAACTAAGAAGAAATTTCCTAACTGTGAGAACAATCAACCAGTGGAATGGCTTGCCTTCAGAAGATGGGGATGCCCCATCACTGGAGGCTTTTAAAAAGAGACTGAACAGCTATTTGTCTGAAAGGGACTTTTGCTTGAGCAGGGGGATGGACTAGAAGACCTAGAACAGGAGTTCCCAAACTTGGCAACTTTAAGACTTGTGGACTTCAATTCAAGTTCAATTCAAGTTGAAGTCCATAAGTCTTAAAGTTGCCAAGTTTGGAGACCTCTGACCTAGAAGGTCCCTTCCAACTTTGCTATTATGTTGTTCAAAATTTCAAAAGAGAGTTACCTCCCCATTTCCCCATCCCTTCAACATGGACATCTCTTCAACATCTTCTCAACATCTCTATCATCTGCTCAACATGGACTGAAAAGGGCAGGCCTGACTTGCAGCCTCCTTCCCTCCCTCATAACACACAGGCTCATCTTTGCATCAATTTAAAAATATTTAGCATGAGAGGATCAGCGAATGCATACCAGAAAAGGGATTCTTCTGTCTGATTCTTTTTCTTGTTGAAATTGAAAGCTTTTCCCCCAAAGTAACAGCCAACACTTTCCATAAGAATTAGAGATAGATTCTAGAGTTAATAGTTAGCTCTAATAAAAAATAAAAAGACACTGAATCAAATTTTACACATTTACTGGATGAAATATGATCAAGCTGACATATACAGTATATAAAAACTATGCTGAGCAAAGACCTCAACATTTATAAGTAATCGGAGACATGAATACCCTGTCAAAATTTCCTTCTACCCAATCCAATATACAAACAGGTAATTATTCATAATTGGATGAACATGACTATCATGACTATCATTTTTTGATAAACCTCCACTCCCCAAATATATAGTTTAGGTCAGCCTAACACGAAATCTCTATAACTTTGACATGCTGGCTGGGGAATTCTTGGAGTTGAAATCCACATATCTTAAAAGTTGTAAGGGGCATAAGTGCACCAACGTGGCTACGGTCCCTTTCTTAATGTTCCCTTTTATTTGTATCTATTTCATGTATTAATATTCATGTTTATACTTACATATATTATCAAATGCATGCTTGACAAAATAAATAAAGTTTGAAAGAAAGACTGGATTAAAGAAATTAATAGGTCCATCTAATGAGTTGCATTGCTATGTAGGGATCTGAATTATTGCTGTGTAGGGATCCACACGTTGATCAATATGTACTACAATTCTAATATCAATTATTCAAATCTGCATCAAGCAAAAGGATAACATGGATTATTATTGATATACTTTTTTTTCAGATTCCAGATTGGGTGGAGCCTGTTCAAATCGTCAAATCAATGCTAGCAAAAGTCATTTCATGTCTGCTGAAGAATGTCTCAGCCAGTATAGTGACAAGCTTGTGGAAGAATATGGGGTAATTACATTACTTTCTCATGGTTATTAATTTTGTTTAATTGATGATTTATTTTCAAAGACAGGAAAGTCAGGAAGTTCAGACTGTTTAGAATGAATATAAAGTAAGCTCATGCTCTCTACAAGAATCTGAACTACTAAAGCAAATTGGCAGTAGTTCAGAGTCATGGAATTCAAGGTGGGCTGGACTTAGATTTCTTGTGGGCAGAAAGGGACTTGAGACAGATGACATGTTTAACCCCTCCCTCAGGCTCAGCCTGGTCATCTCCTACATCTATGTACTGTAGCTACCCATATCACAGCAATGACTCTGGACTCTATCAGAATGGTATATAGAGTCCACTTTCTTATAAGCCACCCAGAGTTTACTGGCCATAACAAAATTAATGAATAAGTGAGCACTCCAACAGAATGCTATGAACATTATATTATAATATCCCTGGGTACAAAGTTTTATACATGACTTCCACTCCTGTGTTGTACGTGAAAATTTAGCTATCTTCTTACAGTTTATACTGTATGTGTTTTTATTTATGTTGACCAATGGGATTAAAGCTAAAAAAACCTCAGGGATTTAACACAGAGAATAAACTAATTTTATCATAATTTACCCTTACACAGAAGTATTTGTGTACAACCAGTTGCTAAAAAGAATGAGGGGATATCTAAGGTTTTCCATGCTTCCTTCTAAATTTTCCCCACTGTAAATTCAGATGTTCCATGTGTCAGGCACAAATAGTCAAAAAGAGGAGTTGAGTTCAAAGCACTAAAAGTTTATTACATGCTACCTATACACAAGAAATTAATCATCTAATGGTCAAGTCAAATTGATGGCAAATAAGAGTCAACAGAATTCATGTGGGGCTGGACTTAGCACTCTTGTGGATGTGTAAGGATAGGATTCCAAACTGATATGACCCCACCTTTGGGATCCATCTAATCATCTCTTACACACTTAGCTCAAAGTTTAAAACAATTCTAACACACATTTTAATAGTTTGGCTTTATGTTAATGAGTGAATGTACTGGGTGGGGAATTCTGGAAATTGAAGTAAACATTGGTTGTATTCAGTTTACAGAATATTTTCTTCATAAGCTAGGTAGATATGGAGAATAGTGGTCTTCTGAATTATCGTGACCATTTTCTCTTGCTCTTAGATATTTCAGAAGGTCTCTGAGGCCTATTTGAACAAATTCACAGCAGTAATTTCTTACTGTGGGTTAGGATCTTCTTGATCACTTCATTCTGGGATTTCAAAATGTTCCAATGTTTATGAGGTCAGAACAGTAGTGTCTCAATAAAAGTCTTGGAAAAGAACCAGAGTACGCTGGCATTGATTGGATTGTTTAGGAGCAAATGCTGTGAACTAAATATGCATATAAAGATAACATATAAATAAACACTTCAAACTTTTTTAAAAAAATATGTTTATTTTGTAGTTTACAGTTTGTTGTGAGGAATCTTTTATATCCTTTTACAGATCTGCATTCTATTTGTGCAGTCTCATAATCTGAGTTGCTGTTGCATTATTTTACAAAGAATAAACCAGTTTATTCTTTATAAGATTGGGTTGAGTTGATTCGGTTGAAGCATGCAACCAATGTATACTTCAACTTCCAGAATTCCCCAACCAGTATACTTAGTTACCAAGTTCTGAAAAATACTACGGTAATATAAACTATCTCCTAAGTGTTTACCAAATCATGTTTGCCATTAGGTTCATCTTTTTTGCATGTAAGAGACTCAGCTATGCAATTTTTTACAATAACTTATAGAGTGCTTAGATCAAATTAATCAGAATAGAATACACTATTAAAAACTTCTATATGGCAACTTCCGGTTTGTCGGCTTCGCGAGCGGCAGGGATTTGCGAAGCTGCGCGATCCCTGCCGCGCTAGCCGCTTCTGGGGCTCCGACCCAGACGGGTACGGAGCTAGGCTGCCCTGCAGGGGCAGCTGAAGGTAGGGGGGATCCGGAGAAGGGTGTGGGGGTGTTGCAAACCCCCTCCCCGACCGGCAGAACCCCCTTTTCCCAGGACGGTGCAGCGGCGGTCCGTAATGGCCGCCACAAAGAAGCTGGCAGCCGGGTAAGAATGCGCAGGAGGAAGTGGAGAAAGTGCTTGAGAGGAGAAAGTTTTTCTTGGCTCCTAGGACTCTAAGACATATTTAATAAAATTCCTGAAAAGTATGATTTTCTGAATAATACCTGCCAGAAGAGGAAAAAAGCGGCTGTTTGATGGTGCTGAAAGGATAGCTTTCCCTCTTTTCCTACGGAATAAATAACTGGATATTAAGAAACCTATTTTTTTTAGGTGAAAATTGGTTTTAAGCGATGAGTGGGAAGAGAGAGGATTAAAAAGAAAATATTTGTATGTTAAGACTTTGTTGGAGCAGATGCCTTAAGGATTTGAAGACTAGAAGATATTGCAATAAGATTTTAAACAGATTTGGACTTTCTTTCTCTTTGATTGATATTACCCCAGAAGGAGAAAGTGAGAACTCTGCCTTGGTTTGGACTGACTGATAACTTTGGGACTGTTTTATTTTTTTTTATTTTCTTTTGAATATTCTGGTTGTTGTAAGAAGAAAGAAGGGGAAAAGAAAAGAAAAGATTTATAATGGCTCTTTCTGTTGAGGAACTAAGAAAAGAATATGAACAAGCAAAAAAAATGGTAAAGATGGTGTGGAAGAAGCTTTCCTTTTTTTAGAAATGGCGCTTACTAACTATCAACAAACATTACAACAGATGAAGACAGCAGAGGAACAAGAAAGAAAGGAAGGAGCCATCTTTAATGAATCTCAGAATTTGATCAAGAAAGAAGGAAGAGAGAAAAGAAGAAAACTAAAGGACTTAAGATCTAAAAAAACATTTAAGAAAGGGAAAAATAAAGTGCAAAACCAATATGATGATAGTAAACAAAAGGGAAAAGGAATACGACAGAGAAGGGAAGCCGGTAAGGCAGAGGTTAGAAGAAGGGGGGGTAGAAAGGTTTGTTGGGAGAAGAAAGAAAGGGAAAAGGTGGAGAAAAGCTACAATGTTTTGAAATTAAATGGAAAAAAGAAATTTTTTATGGATAATGGATAAAGTATAATTTTTTTTAAAAAAAAAAAGATTTTGCAAGGTATATAAGATGAGATGGTAGTATTGTAATGGTTTAAGAGTTGATAAGAGATTAAAATGTTAAAATGTTTAAAAATGATTGGCTTTAAAATTTAATAATAGGGGAGGTTTAGAATACTGTTTTAATTAAAGAGTTTAATAAGATTATGGTATTGATGTTATTATAAAATTTTTATTATAGTATCTTTTTTTAATATTTGGATTTATTGTCTAATTATGTACTTAATTATTTTGGATGTATTAGTTAGATAGAATGTACCAAGCAAAATCGGATTGGGTATTGGATATTATTTTAAAGATTAATTTGACTAACTTAGGGGGGAGATAGAAAAGCATCATACTCTGATTAATGATTTCAGGAGAAACTTATTTTCTTCTTTTTTATGAGGAATGAGACAAAGGGATGATAAAAAATGGACAAAAGATACAAATATAATGATTCAAACTAAGATGATTAATTAAGATAGAATTAAGAAGGGTGAAATATGTGGAGAAGTTAATATAGAAGGCTTAGAATGGTAAATAAAATAAGTAATGATATGTAAGATGAGCATGAATATAATTGAAGTCCATGAAGAGAGAGACACCTGGGTCCAAGTTACTTTCCAAAAAGATTTTTTTTTATGTTTTGTGTGTTGTGTGTATATGTTTTTTTGGGGGGGGAGAATTAGTAAAAACTTGTAGAAATATAGAATGAGAATAATGGTAACTAAGTCAGAAAGAAATAGATGAAATAATAACAATGATATTGAATAAGAGTAAAGAGAAGTAAAGAGAAATTGAATAAGAGGTTTTGGTATGTTATATGGAAATGGTTTAAAACAGAATCATAATTTATCTGACTTGTTAAATTTACAATGAAAAAAGGTTTAAACATGTAATGAATAATGATAATTTGTGTGTTTTAAAAATTAATAAAACTTGTTTAAAAAAAAAAACAAACTTCTATATGGCTGTCCAAACTGGCTTGAAAGGAAAACATTCAGATTTCCCATGTAACCTATTCCCTAAATAATTTTAAATTTAGAATCCAGTAAAAAGATTGTTTAAAAAAATACTTTTAGCCGAAGAGTTAATGTTACAGTAAAATATAGTATATAGTATAGTATATACAGTAGTATAGGGACGCAGTGGCTCAGTGGTTAAGATGCTGAGCTTGTCGATCAGAAAGCTCAGCAGTTCAGTGGTTCGAGTCCCTAGCACCACGTAACGGAGTGAGCTCCCGTTACTTGTCTCAGCTTCTGCCAACCTAGCAGTTCAAAAGCATGTAAAAATACAAGTAAAAAAAATAGGGACCACTTTGGTGGGAAGATAACAGCATTCCGTGCGCCTTCGGCATTTAGTCATGCCAGCCACATGACCATGGAGATGTCTTCGGACAGCACTGGCTCTTCGGCTTTGTAATGGAGATGAGCACCGCCCCCTAGACCTGGAAACGACTAGCACATATGTGCGAGGGGAACCTTTATCTTACTTATACAGTAGTATAATATAGTTTATCTGAGTGGAAAATAAAAGTTGATCCAATTTTGATACTCAGTTGGATATTCTCTACTAGGATGCATATATTGCCTTCCGTAAAATAGATAGGAACAGTGATGGTGTAGTCACAATGCTTGATTTCCGACGCTTGCTGGACAGTCTCATGATCAGCATGACAGATGAGGAATATGTGCGCCTTCTTGGTATCTTGGGAATGAATGAGACTTCCACCCTGAATTATCCAGAATTCCTTCAGTTGTTCCAAGCTCACTCAACTAAAGAGATGCGTCCTTGGTTGACCACATCTTACAAGTAAGTAAAATAGAAATTTGGTTTATTTTGATTTACATTATCATTAGATGATCACTTAATAGCAATGCTATGGCCACTGGCCTCATTTGAGTTGGGGATGAGTCTGCATATGAATGGAAGGTTGAACAACTGGCCTTATAATGCAGTCGTAGCAATTGGGAGCTGAACATGCTTAAAAGTGGAAAGATGAGAGTGGATTTTAGGAGGAGTCCTTCTATTTTACCACCTCTTACTATATTCAACAGCATGGTATCAGCAGTAGAGTCTTTCAAATTTTGGGGTTCTGTAATCTCCCAGAACTTGAAATGGACACTCAACTTTAGAACCATCATTAAAAACGCACAATGAACAGATGTTCTTCCTGTGTCAACTCAGGAGGTTCAGATTGCTCCAGGAACTGTTTTACAGAAGAATTTTTGAGTCTGTTATTTGTACTTCTATAGCTGTCTGGTTTGATATAGCGACCAAACAGGTATATGGTTCAACGGATAGTTAAGACTGCAGAAAGAACATTTGCAACCTACTTGCCTTCCATAAAATACCTAGAGTCAGAAGGAGGGTAAGAAGATATCTGCAGACCCTTTACATCCTGGACATAAACTGTTTCAACTCCTTCCCTCGAGACGGCACTATAGGGCATTGCATGACAAAATAACTAGACACAGGAACAGTTTTCCCCCTCATGCCATCACTCTGCCGAACACCCAATTCTCTCAGTGTTGCCTAATGTCTATTAACCCATGTAATGTCACTATAGTATTATTTTTTCTTATTGTCTTCTTTACTCCTTTTTTATTGATATTATTATTATGATTAATCTTTAATTTGCTTCACAGTCTGAGACTGATAAAAATAGTTCAAGTCCTAACCAAGGATCTAAGACAGGGGTCAGCAACCCGCGGCTCTGGAGTCGCATGTGGCTCTTTCATCCCTCTGCTGTTGCTCCCTGTCTCTCAAAATATGCATCACAACAGCCAATGTGTAACACCCACCAGCACGTGATTTATTGAGCATTTTGAGCCCCCGGTAGGCTAACCATGGATAAATCCAAGAAAAGAAAAGTTTCAGAAGAAAAAGAATCTTTAATTCAACTATATATGTTAGTTTTGTGGCTGCTCAGGAAATAGTCAGGCATGGGAAGGATTTTATGGCTCCCGGTGTTTGGCTCTTTGAGTGTTTAAGGTTGCCGACCCCTGACCTAAGCGCTGTTAAGGTAACATCTGAGTATATAGGCAGATATGATGATGATGATGATGATGATTTGTAGGTACACAAAGTGCTTATGTACCAGAGACAAATTTCTTGTGTGTCTAATCACACTTGGGCAAATAAAGTATTCAATACAATTCAGTTCAATTCATTATATTAACCTGAAACAAAATAATATTGGATACAAGAAATGTTACATGGGATACTATGACGTAAAGTAATTTAGGATGCAAAATATTTCAAGATAGAATCAGAACATCATTTTTGTTCTTTTTGATAGGAATTTAAGCATATTTGACAGTGTATAATGAATAATGACAAATGAGTGAACGTATTTTTGCTTTTTAAGTACATCAATGTTTTTTTTAAATCAAGCATTTCCATAATTATCTTTTTCAGATCTTCCATACAGAATTTTTAAAAATAATTGTCAGCTCCACCAAGTAGACTAGGAATAAATTCCACAGGAAGGTTAGGTCTACTTATATTCAAAGTAGCTATAACAACAAAATCTTGCAACTCTTAATCCTGCTGAGTCCTCCCCTTCTTATGCCCACGAGAATTAGGGAATCATCTTCCTGAGTGTATGCATATTTGTTTGGGATTTAAGCTATACTTTGTCCTTGTAATAATGGATCTGATCTATCTCTGTCAAGATCATCTTTCTTTTTACTATAACACAGTAAATCAAGTTTGTTTATTCAGAAGATTTGGTTCCATTGTACCAAAATGAACTGAAATGTGATTGGCAGCCCCCATTTCTGTGGAATAATCCACAGAAAAACAGTAAGAAAGTTTGGATACATCTTTTTGGTTTTAGGAGTCTACTATAATTTTCACTGAAGATTCATATGTCCTACAATCTGCAGCTTGTAAGATTTTTGGCTGGTGTTTTTTAATTGATGTTTAAAGTTCCTATTTGTATTTAATTATATTGCTTTCGATTGCACTGTTATTTGTGAAAGCAACTTTGTTTTTCATGGAAATGAGATATAAATAAATATTCCATTATACATTCTCTATGAAAAGTCTGAAGTATAACCACTTGATTTTCAACATCCTGTAACTCAGCTGTAAGGTAACCTAGGCAACCATTTAAGAAGCTTTTAAAAACGTCCTCATCACAGATCTTCAGTATTGGAAAATTGATGAGAAATCTGGAAAACCACAGCAGGTTTTTTTTTTAAATCATTGCTTTCCAGTTTCATGGAAGGGGGAACATAAAAGTGCCTTTTGCCATGTTCCTTCTGTTGCATCCCTTCAACCCTATCACTTCTAGCAACTGAAGGCTAAAATGTATATGGAGAACTTGCTATACCTACATAAATATTCATGATTTTGAACCGATTTTCTTAAAGTCATCCAGTTCCAATGAGACCGTACTTGGAGTTCTGAGTACAATTCTGGGCATTACTTTTCCAGAAAGGTATTGATAGGTTAGAATAGCTGTAAGCAAGGGTGGGATTCTACAGTTCGCACCTATTTGCTAGAACCGGTTGTTAACATTCTAAGCAGTTCCGAGAACTGGTTGTTTGAAGAAATTACTGGCCTAATCCTGTAAGGAAGGCAGGAAGGAAACATTCTGGTGTTGCTTACAGAAACTGCCTCTCCGTTAACCCTTATTACATTCTTGGCAGGACTAGACTTCCTGTCTCAGGAACGTCTCTGGACTTTTTTCCCCCTCCTTTGCTGGTACTTTGCTTGTGTGGAGTGACCATTCAAAGTTACAATGGCACTGAAAAAAGTGACATATGACCATTTTTCACACTTACGACTGTTGCAGCATCCCCACAGTCACGAGAGGCCAGGAGAGGAGATGCGTGCCTCGATGTGAGTGATATTGAGTTGGCTACGCCCAGCCAGTCACATGACCACCCAGCCACGCCCACCAACTAAACCATGCCCACCAAACTGGTTGTTAAAAAAATTGAATCCCACCCCTGGCTGTAAGGGACCTTGGAGGTCTTCTGGTCCAACTCCCTGCCCAAGCAGGAGATCCTACACTAGGGGTGTCAAACTCAAGCGTGTGTAAATTTGGCCCATAGGCCCGGCCTAGAAATAGCAAAGGAACAGCCCTCAGTGCCTCTGGCAGTCAAAATGGGGTGGGGGTCCTTTTGGCCAGCAGGGTGCTGCTGGACACTGTCCATGCTGAAAATGGGGCAGGGTGGGGCCTCACTCAGCCCCCACACACCCCATTGTTGGGAAGAAATATCCTTCTGGGTTCAGTTCCAAGTGAGGAAAAAGACATTGGAAACATGGGGGCTGTTTGGAAGGTTTAATGGTGGACAGGGCCACATGGCTTGAAGTTCCAAAGAAGGATGATCACATGCTCCAAGGTGAAGGGAAAGAGAAGGAAAAGGGCTGAGGTGCTGAGAGTGCCTGAGTTTTATAACCTTTGTTGGGATTTGAATTGGAGCTTGTATTCTGATTGGTTGTCAGACTCCCATGAGGCCATGCAGGGGCAACTCTGTAGGTTGTCCTGAGTTCCAGGCTCGGTTGAGCCTTGCTGGATGATGATGCACTGAAAGGGCTTTTGAGCAATTGCTGTAGCTTTACCTGGAGATCTTTGTTATGTAAAGTATTCTGGCCCAGGCCTTAATGGCCCACCCATTAACAAAGGTGGGGGTGAGCTTCTACTTCTGAGTTTCTACTCTTTTTAGGGAAATATTCTGCCTTTTAAATATTTCCTAGGATATTTTATTTTCTAGGAGAGGGGTGGGTGCTAACTTTCTACACCATTTTGGCCGGCAGGGTGCTGGAGTAGGTGTCTGTCCTGTCCCACCCCCGTTCCCCCGCCAGCCCACGGAGAACTACAATGCTGATCCAGCCCTCGAAGAAATCCAGTCTGACATCCCTGTTCTATACCATTTCAGACAAGTGACTGTCCAGTCTCTTCTTAAAAATCTCTCAGTGATGAAGCACCCACAACGCCTGAAGACGAGCTGTTTCACTGGGTGATTGTCCTCACTGTTAGAAGTTTCTCCTCAATTTCAGGTTGCTTCTCTTTGATTAGTTTCCATCCATTGTTTCTTGTCCTGCCCTCTGGTGCATTGGAAAATAAGTTGACCCCCCCACTCTTCTTTTTGGCAGCCCCTCCAATACTGGAATACTGCTATCATGTCACCCCTAGTCCTTCTTTAATCTAGACAGGCCATACTCAAATCCTGCAGCCGTTCTTCATGTGTTTTTTTTTTGTCTCCAGGCCTTTAATTTTCTTAGCTGCTCTTCTTTTGCACTTTTTCCAAAGTTTCGACATCTTTTTTATAATGTGGTGACCAAAATTGGATGCAGTATTCCAGATGTGGTCTTACTAAGGATTTATAAAGCTTACTAATTCTTCACATGATTTTGATTCTGTGCCTCTGTTTATACAACCAAGGATTGTTTCAGCTTTTGGGGTGCTGTCACACACTGCTGATTCATGTTTAAGTGGTCGTCTACAACAGTGATCCCCAACCTTTTTTATGCCGCGGCCCGGTACCGGCATCAGCTGGGCGCCGCCATCTTGTTTTGATGAAAAAGTGCTTCCGGTGAGCTTTCTACCCGGAAAAGCTCACTGGAAGCACTTTTTCATCAAAACAAGATGGCGGCACCCAGCAAACCAGCGGCCCGGTAGGACTTGTTCCACGGACCGGGACCGGTCCGCGGACCGGTGGTTGGGGACCCCTGGTCTACAAGGATTCTGTCAGAGTATATTCTTGAACTGGAATAGAGCTTGGTAACAAGATCAGCCAATGAATAGGCATAGCAACTAACTCAGCCAATGAGGACTGTTTTGGAAACTGAAACTAGAAGTAGCCTAGGCTGGAAACTGAAACTAAAAGTATTCTGTATTAAGGTTCTGTATTAAGCTTTGCAACTCTGTGGCTGTGTTGAGCTCTGAGTCTGTCTATTGAAGATGAAACTTGCTGGCTTGCTGAAGACTGGAACTTTGCTCTGAACTTGCAACATGTTTCTGTCTGAGTTTGCTCCATGTTGGAGAAATCTACAACTGGTTTGTAAAATCTTCTTATGTTTATAAAGATATTAAATGAAGCATCAGCCATCGGTGTTTATTTTTCTGGCGCTGAATTATCGCTGCAAAACTCTCAATAGATTCCAACTTCCCTCTCACGGTTACTGTTTTTGAGCCAGGTTTCACCTAATCTGTACTTGTTCCTTTGGTTTTTCCTGCCTAGGTGTAAAACCTTGCTTTTCTCTATATTAAATTTCACATTAAATTTGGTCTGCAAGAGCTGTGGAGAGGGGTGCTGGTTTACTAAGCAATTTGTTTTAAAATTCTGTAAGACATAGGAGAGAATAGGATGTATATTAGAAATAAATAGTTCTGCACAATATAGCAAAAATTAAGGAAACAAATAGAATCCAGATTTGATAGAGTTGTAAGTGGGAGAACTTTCTTTTTATTCCTCTAGCACAAGGAAGAAAGCTCCCACTAGGTTGTGTTTGGAGCTTGATTGGTCTTCAGTGGCGACCATTTTCTTTGTAATTTTCTTTTTCGTTGATAGTAAAACAATGTCACAAAAGAACAACCATTTTAATCATAACTTAATGAAAGAAACGTAAACTGCTCAGAGTCCCTGTAGACTACCATAGAAACCCAGGAAATATATAAAATAAATTGGTGCTACAATCTCAACCACAAGATTTAAAAGTAAGTGTCCATAAAAACCAGTTGAGTGGTCCAAACATGAAGAACAGAGTTTTTCTAGATGTTTTAGATGATTGTAAGAAGATACACACCTACAAATATAGATCCATTGCCTGAAGTGACAATTTTGTATAATCACGTTCTATTTCATTCTGAAAATATGTACAGTGTATTGGCTGTTGGCCTAATTAGAATCAGTGGGAGTCTTCTAGTCAACATTATGGGCTGTTCGTTTGGTTTCAGTGTAGTCTTCTATTAAGTGTGAGACATAATTGTAGGCATTTTGTTTGTGGAATTGGGATGAATAGGAGTGGCTTAAGGCTTCCTACTCAATCTCTCTACTAAAAAATCTAATCTTGCAATTCTGTTCTTTTTCTTCTGTTTAGCTTCACATTCATCCCAGCAAACTTCCAGGCATAATTCTTCTAATTAACCTCCCTCACTTCATATATAGTTTGAACTCACCCGTCAATAAAGTTCAATTCTTTATTTTTAAAAAAATGTATCCACAGCCAGAAAGGATGTTGTTGCATAATTGATAACAGATAACAGATAATCAGAGTTGGAAGGGACTTTGTAGGTCATCTAGTCCAACCCCCCCACCCAACCGGGAGACCCTACACCATTTCTGACAAATGGCAGTCCAATCTCTTCTTGAAGGTCTCAAGTGATAGCGCTCCCACAACTTCCAAGGGCAAACTGTTCCATTGGTTGCTTGTTCTCACTGTCAGAAAGTTTCTTCTCATTTCCAGGTTAAATCTCTCCTTGTTCAGTTTCCATCCATTATTCCTTGTCTGGCCTACAGGTGCTTTAGAAAATAGCTTCCTCTCTGGCAACCCCTCAAATATCGGAAGACTGCTATCATATCTCCCCTGGTCCTTCTCTTCATTAGACTAGCCAAGCCCAGTTCCTGTAACCGTTCTTCATGTGTTTTAGTCTCCAGTCCCCTAATCATCCTGGTTGCTCTTCTCTGTACTTTTTCTAGAGTCTCAACATCTTTTTTATAATGCGGTGACAAAAACTGGATGCAGTACTCTAGGTTTGGTCTTACTAAGGCTTTATAGAGTGGTATTATTACCTCCCTTGATCTCGATTGTATCTCTCTGTTAATGCAACTTAGGGTGGCAGTAGCTTTTTTGGCTGCTGCTGCACACTGCTGGCTCATATTTAGCCAGTTGTCCACTAAGACTTCAAGATCCTTCTCACAGTTACTGCTATTGAGCCTGGTTTCACCCAGTCTATATGTGTACTTTTGGTTTTTCTTGCCTATTGAAAGAAATGGAAAGAAAGCCAAAAGAACAAACTCAGGAGGGGAGTTTCATCACTGGCTATTGAATATTATCTGCCGAAAAGGAACCTAGCAAGCTAGAATTATCAGTCAGTAAAAAAAAATTCGGGTTTCCAAAGGGAACAAGAACCCAGAAATGTGCATATAACTTAATAAATCTGAGAGTTTAGCTGCTTTTTGTCCATATGGGTGGACAAAAGTCCCCCTGTTGGTTTAGATCAGAGTTCCCCAACCTTTCTGGGTTGATGGCCAAGAGTGGAGGGAAGGGGATAATTTTGTGGGAGGGGCAGGCACACGTGTGCATGCGCATGTGCCAGTGCCCGCAACGTTGGCAGCAATGCTCACGCAAGAGGGGCCACAAGCGCCTGCAATGAGGCTCTCACAAGTGAGGCCACAAGTGGGACTGCGAGCACAAGTGGGGCCGCAAGCACTCACAACGTGGCTCACACAAGTGGGGCCGTGGATGCGTGTGGATGCATGCACACCAGGCAGCCACTCACACGTCCCAGTGGCGATTGGGCCATGACCCGGTAGTGGGCTATGACCCACAGATTGGGGACCCCTGGTTTAGATGAAGGGCTGCTCTTCTGATAGGGGTTCAGCATAACTTCTGAAAGAGCAAGGCATACAACCTGCACAGCACAAATAAAAGAGAGGTTGCGGTTTGTCAGTGGCTCTAGCTGGATTTCATAATAGAACAGGCACAGCAATTTTCTGGTGATCTTCAGACCACTATTTGCTGAAGTTGCACTGGATCTTTTAGACGTTTTGCCTATCTTTAGAGCTTGCTTTGATTTACATACATTTTCCCTTTAAATCTCAGCTGCAATTAAGACATTTGACCAATCGTATTTGCATATGTTGACAAGAATTAAGGGAAGTTTTAAAAAGATTTTTAATTTGCAGCTGTGGGGGGGGGGGGATAATTGTAAGGAACTCATTTGTATGCAGATCTCTGAGGTAAGTCTTAAAATCTCTCTGTACAAAACATAAGAAGAAAACAAACAAACAAAACTTGTAAGACGTTAATAAATTCATTTAGGAAAAAAATAATTACAATAATTTTTTTTTCCTAAGACCTAGGCGGATTGTAGCAGATGCAGATCTCGCTTGTGAACAAGCTCACTGCTATCTTAGTATCAAAGCACAGAACAGATGGAGTGACTTGGCTATGGTAAGACCTGAGTACCTTTGAAACATACATTTGTATAAAATGCTTTTAGGGCTTCAGACAATGCTTAGCTTTGATGGAATGTGGGATTTTTTGAATTGTTACTAAACAGCCATCTAAAGCAAACCGTTAACAAACATAAACAAATAGCTCATTAGCGATCAAAATGAGTAGTAAGCTTGAAAATAATGTATTTCACAGTCTAATTTTAAGCTGCTGAGCTTTTCAAATTCTTTAAAAGAGAGAATACAGCAGAATATGTATCAATTATAATTATCTATGCAAGTAGGTGGCTGATGGTAATGGGACTGAAATGATTAGGAGTTCCAAACTTGATAGTTGAAATAAGCTCTCGCCATGGCCAACTCACTGCAACCAACTCACCACGGGACAAGAGTTACTGTGATGACCCAGGGTGGGATACAAAATAAGCACAGTCACAAAAAACAGGTAAATCCCCTTTTATTCCTTCACTTTGCTTCCAAGCTCCAAATATTCTTGACTGAAGACAAAAAACTCCCACACAAGCAGTTACAAGAAGAAGGAAATGTTTAAATTATAAAGAGTAAAAGACAACACAAACCAGGCAAGATAAGGGCTGGAAGACATCCACAGATATCAGGACATACACTGGGAAGGACGCCCAACTCAGAGAGAAACCATAAACTAGAGATATTTCCATGCTTTGTTTCCAGCACTCGCCCGTACGCATGTCCGTCCTCTTATTCAGTTGTCACAGCTGCAGCCTCATGAAGAGGATCAAGGCCCTCTCCTCCCGAGGAGAGACTCCCCACGTCTCTCCCTTATTCTCTCCTCCCTGCGTGCCCTAGGATGGAGAGGGGATGGGCCTGGGTCCTCTGACTGCCCAGCTGTCCTCTGCCCTTCCCCACAACCTCCGGAGCCACACTTCCACTCCCTGTCGGCTGTTCCTCCTCTCCCTCAGAGTCAGTCTCCATCAGGGGCATGACAGTTACACCAATATCAAAGAAAGAATGGAATAGAATCATTAAGGAAATGATGGAAAGGAAGGACAAAAGGATATGTGAATGACAAACATTAAAATATTTTTTAACTATTCTAAATAATTAAATTGAATTGTTGAATTGTCTAGCAACGAGTTGGCCATGGTGAGTTGTCCCATTCTGGTTCAGAGGGCTTATTCCATTAATCACTTACACCCCAAACATTCTATTAAGTAAGAATTATCCATATTGCATCTTGCACAGAATTTGTAGACTTTTAAGTTATACTGTGATAGGCCCAAGGTAATAAGCAATAGTAGCAATAGCACTTAGACTTCTATACCACTTTACAATGCTTTATAGCCCTCTTAAGCAATTTACAGAGTCAGCATATTGCGTCCAACAATCTGGGTCTTCATTTTACCCTCAGAAGGGTGGAAGGCTGAGCCAACCTTGAGTCCGGTAAGATTCAGACTGCCAAATTGCAGGCAGCTGGCAGTTAGCAGAAGTAGCCTGCAGTCCTGTCCTCTAACCACTGCACCACCGTGACTCACGGTGTAGCCCCCTTCTCTCTTGCCACTTGGCCACATCTACTGTATGACATTATCACTTGGTGCTTTTGGCCCATTCTTCCTTTCCTTTGCATTTTGACAATGTGTGCAACTAAGCATCAGCTGAAGCACAAGTCTTTGGCCATTTTGTTTTCTCCAGAATGCTACTGGGCCTTGACTCAAATTCACTGTGGAGCTACATAAACAAGGAGCATTGCCTTTTGGTCAACGCATCATGGTTGATTGTTGCCTACATTTTGATGTTGTCCAGACCAGAAGCCCAACAATGAATCCTAGCTCTATCTTTATTGTAAGGTTACGTTCCAGGAATTTAAAAAGTCTGAATGTATTTATACTCTCCTCCCTGGAAAACTAGGCAGGGTCCCTTCTGTAATGCTTCCCACAACCCTTCTGCGTCTGTAGACACAGATATGTTTGGCATGATGGTTGTCTAGTCTGTGATTCATCCTTCCGTCTCCCAAGGCAATTACCACATTCCATTACATTTTATAAGAGAGAGTTAGGGAGAGGGAAAAAACTCCCACATAAAAATTAGAAGAGCTTGATAAGGTAATCTATCCATATGTCAGGACAAGAGAATCTACAAGGTGAGTCAAAAAAAATTCCAGTAGTGGCTGTGACTGTGCAATAGGAGTTTGATCATGTCATAGCTGCCATTTTGACTTTTTGACTCAATGATGGAGAGATGTGTAAAGGTCTTTGTCCCCCACAGGAAAATGATAGTGGGCAGTGATATTTTATATGGCCTATTGCAGTGGTTGCCAACTGGTGGGCCGAGGACCACGGGTAGCCCGAGAGAAAATTTTGGAGGTCCACAGAGAAATGTCCCCCCCCCCAAAGCAATTAATCCAGGCTGCACGGGAACACAAGGCTGAGCCACCCACATGGCCCACCCACCCGCTGGCCCCCACCCTTCGGCCAAGCACAAACCTTACCTTGAGTAGAGCCATGTGAGCCAGAACTGGAAGGTAAGACCAACGGCAGGGGAGGGAAATCCGCCCCGGGGTGGCTTGCTGGCGTTGGTGAAAAAGTCGGTCCCATATTCCAGAGCTGCAGTAATCACAGGACTGGCCCTTTGGTCATCCCGGAGCAGCTGCTCCAGTCCGTGGCAGGCTGGTGCACCCAGGTGGAGGAGTAGCTGCTCCGGGATGACCAGAGGGCCAGTCCTGTGACTACTGCAGCTCTGGAATATGGGACCGACTTTCCCACCAACGTCAGCAAGCCACCGTCAGTCAAAATTCATATTAGTAGTCCACGGGATTTAAAACTATGAGTTTGGTGGTCCCCGAGGTCCAAAAGTTTGGCAACCCCTGGCCTATTGGACATTCTCATGGGGCGCATTCATATAATTCATTGCCAGTTTGGAATTGATTAAGGGTTAAGTTCAGCCTTAGATATTAGAATCTATGCTGTATATAGAACTTGCATTTTTGCAAGTTTATTGATGAATCTGAGCTATGTAGTACATCTGCTTATTTACAGGACAGACTAGACTGCCCATCATTTAGCTGGTGAACCTTTTTAGAAATTATTATTGTAATTAATTGTTTTTAAAAGACTAAAAAAGAAAAACAAGAGAAAGGAATTTTTTTAAAAAAAATTAATGCAGAGACCAAGTATTAGCAAGTGGACACAGATCACTAAGGTTGTTACAGTTAGTGCTCAGTATAACATTAATGGAAAATTAACCATAAAAAAGAATACATTGGTATTTTTTAACGATAGATGAGAGACCTTTAGAGTTTAGCCTTTAGAAACCTCTTTTTAATTTCAGAGTCTCCACTATTTTGTTAGTGGAGCCGTGGTGATGCAGTGGTTAGAATGCAGTATTGCAGGCTAATTCTGCTGACTGCCGACTGTCAGCAGTTCAGCAATTCAATTCTCACCGGCTCAAGGTTGACTCAGCCTTCCATCCTTCCAAGGCCAGTAAAATGAGAACCCAGGTTGTTGGGGGAAAATATGCTGACCCTGTAAACCACTTAGAGAGGGCTATAAAGCACTGTGAAGTGGTATATAAGTCTTAAGTGCTATTGCAATTAGTAGAGAAGAAGAAAAAGGGAGAAATAAGAAAAACCACTGTGCTAAAACCATTACAGGCAGATATTTAGTTTAAACTTCTTCTTTATTGTAGTCTCACTGAAAGTATGTATGTGTCTGTGTGTGCATGTGTGCATGTGTGTGTGTGTGTGTGTGTGTGTGTGTGTGTGTGTGTATATATGGTATTCAGCTTTGTTCGGGTATTTTCCCATGTCATTATAGTTGTGCTTTTAAAGTTGTAGCAACGTTTTGGCAGAATCTCATCTGCCATCATGCCATCATCAGGCTTCTGTATTGTGTTAGTCTGACGATATATATATATATATATGATGATAGCCTGATGATATATATATACCTACATACATACATAAAATCTTCCGCAATTACTGTATCCTTCTCTTCTGATTTTGAGGCCCTTTAAATTCCTTGAGATCATAGAGGAAATGTTGGTTTTTCTTTTTTATGATTGTTTATGATTAGAAGATAAAACTTGTCCTTTTATGCTTTTAAACATTTGTCTCTGTTATTAAATATATTTCATGTTTTAGCACTTCCGTGAATATGATGCTGATGGAAATGCCATAATTACAAAAAAAGATTTGAAGGACATTCTTTTTAGATGTGGTATCCCAATAAACCCCAAAGAATTTGAAAAACTTTGGACAAGGTAAGGCTTTATTAATAATACCCTTCCCTCATTACCTGTAGACTTTAATATAATATACATCAGGAGAAATAAATCTCTACTTTAAAAAAAATACCACTCTCTATGATGTCTATGGTTTTATCTGTACTTGCCTAATTGATTGACCCTTCCGTAATAGGCCCAGGGCACTGTCACTATAATGTGATTGCCTGTGCCAATCCCCTACTCTCCATCAATGTGACCTCAGTCTATGTCATGAGTGTCAAGCTCAAGGCCCATGGGCTGGATCCAGCCCGCGGGCTACATAGAGAAACAGCAAAGGCCCACCCACAGTGCCTCTACCAGCGATAACAGAGCTCCATTTTCACTGGCAGAGGGTTGCAGGATGCCGGGGCAGCTGAAAATGGGGTCCCGGGAGCCCATTTTTGCTGGCAGAGTGCTCAGGCCTCCACAGGAGCCCCCAACATGAGTGACATTGAGCTGGCCATGTCCACCCAGGCCACGCACCCTCTGGCCCTCCAAGGTCAAACACAACCCTGATGCGCACTCAATGAAATTGAGTTTGACACTCCTGGTCTATGTTTTTCTGCTCTGCTTTTGAGGAACACTTTTCTTTGTTAAGCTGCCTGTAGTAGTAGCACTTTTGCCCATTTGAGATAGTTGTCTCCAGTTTGTGGCAGGCCAACCACAGAAGCTCATTGCCTGCATTGCACAGCAACGATGTTCCTTCAGCTGAGTCATTATTTGCTGCAATCTGTAATACCTTTCATAGCTTCCTTGATTCAAAACCCAGCAAAAAAAAAAATGATTAAAAAAAAATCTATTGCACTTTCCCTGATTATCCTTTTTTCCTTTTATTGGGTTTTTTAGAATTGTTAGGGCTGTTCATCGTATTGCTTAAAAGCATGTTTTAAGTCAGGGGTCCCCAACCACCAGGCCCCGGACCGGTACCAGTCCGTGGAACATTTTCTACCGGGCCGTCGGTTTTCTGGGCACCGCCATCTTGTTTTGATGAGAAAGTGCTTCCGGTGAGCTTTTCCGGTTGGAAAGCGGCGTTTGGGTCCTGAAGGAATCCTTGCGCCTTAGTTTCATCGAAGGGGGGTGGTGGCTTCGAACAAAACTAAGGCGCGAGGATTCTTTCACCATCCAAGGCAAGGCGAGCCAAGCGACCGTCCCAAAGCCGTCCCAAAGCCCATCGACAAAGGTACAAAGGAGGAGTTGAAGGTGGCGGGGAGAAGCGGGGGACGGCTGGCTGGCCGGTCACTCGGCTCGCCTTGCCATGTGTGCTGATGCCGGTACCGGGCCGCGGATCATTTTGTGATGCCGGTACCGGACCGTGGCACAAAAAAGGTTGGGGGCCACTGTTTTAAGTCATATGCTTCCCTGGCTTCTCCAATGCGTGCAGCTTTTTATCCAAACCATTTGCAACTCCAGGAAACCCAGTTAAACCGGAGGTCAGTTGGCTTCTTGGGGACTACCTTCAGCTGAGTTGGGGATGTTAGATGTGCAAGAGTGATTCAGCTGATTGCAATGGTCTATGGCATGAGAGGAGAGCCGTGCAGAAACTAGAGCTTTTCTATCAGGCTTGTCCTGACTTGCCCATTTAGGAAATAAGACCCTTCGACTGCATTCCTAGTGAAAGGTATACTTTTACTAAAGCCAAGTGGTTACAAGATTAAAAAAAAAAAAAAGCCAGATCTGAGGTATGGGTGTGAAAACTGTCACCTTACTTTCCCCTTTCACAGGTCCTTCCCCCCACCTCCCATTATCTCCCTAGTGTCCATTTGGATTCAAACACATTGTTTTGGTAACAGTTCTGATGCTTGGCATGCTCTGCAATGGTCCCCATCACATTTCCATGCTTGTTACCTTGGAGTCAACCAGCCAATGTATCTGGCAGGCATCAGAGTGATTTTGGTTTCTTGTCTTCCCTCTCACTAGCTTCCTCCCCTTCCCCCCCCCCCCCAGGTCATGGCAGTCTGGCATCAGTGAAGCAGTGATGGGGTGAAGCAGAATGGTAGCACTGACATTTTCGCTTCGTCATCTGTTTTACAATCTCTCTCTCTCTCTCTCTCTGTATGTATGTGTATATATATGTGTGTGTGTGTGTGTGTGTGTGTGTGTATGCGTATATGTATATATAATCTATCTATCTGCCTACCTTTCTAGCACTTCACATAAAATAGTACTCTTTCTATTATTCTTGTTTATCAGTCAGAATTTGTTTGCTCAGGTTTAGAATATAAAATGCCTTCAGCTTTTTGACTCTGAGGCAAGCCAAATGTTCTGTAAATAAAATTATTTAATTATTTATCTTATGTCTTAGTAACATAGCTCACGTATTGACAGCTATCAAATAATTGGATTTTTCTTCTACCCAGGAATATTGATTTGCTGCAAACAGCTACTTATTTGAAATCTGCTCAAAAACCATTAACTACATTCCCATATTTCTTTTAAAACAAGCCAAAAACAAGACTATTTTCTAAACTTTTAAAGTTATTCTTGCTTGCACTTCTGTAGACTGGTTACCTGACTGGGATACAAAACAGGTTATGATTAAACCAGAAATTCATTGACAAAATGTGTACTATTTACTCAGGCTGGGTAAAATTTCACTGTAGAGCTATGAGTCTGTTAAGTTGTTCCATCACTGTAGAACATGGAACCTCATTAGTTGCTTTTGACTTGATGTTGCTATGTGATGGGCTTTTCGCACACATAAGCACATTGTATTAATTTACTAACATTTAAACAATTAAATTTAGTTTTGTCTTGACTTCATCCATCTCTACCCAACTCTTCAAACCACAAAGCGAAAATAACTTTAAAATAAAAAGCAATCCTAAAATATTTTATCAGGGATTCTATTTTTAAAAAGTACATGGTTATGTAGAAGGCTCAGGAAAAGAACAACAGTAATAAAAACAATACTACTGAAAACCTATTCACAATTGGAGGGAAATTTTCCAGGGTTTGAACCAAGAACCTTCTTTTTAAATGACAAAATTGTGGCTACTATTTTATTATAGCATTCGTGGTATGGTAAGGTAATCAAAAAACAATAGGAAAACAATGTACTTTTCTAAAAAATAAACAGGATTAAATTATCCCTTCAAACCTCCAGAATAATGTAAAATCAAAGAGAACAAGATATAGAAAAAGTAAAGAAGGTCAGTGTTTGCAGAAACCTTTCTCTGTCAAACCTTCAATGAGAACATCTGGCAGGGAATCCCCTGATAAAGGAAGCACCAAACAAAGCCCAAATATGTAAAATAATGGCTTAAAAATAACATTTTAAACAATTATTTTAGGCTCCTTGCTGAAAAGTTTTTAGCATGTACAGAGGTGCTGTAGGAAAATTAAAAAAAAAAAAAATCAAAATGGATTCCTCGGTGATAAAATCAAAGCCCTACTCTTTTTAATGTATGGCTTAGATTTTTGAACAAGTATGTAAAAAGGGACTAGCCTTTGTATAGTTGAACCAACATCTTGAACTTTTTTTTTTTGCACCCCTATGTATTCCTGCGACAGTAAATGTGGTAAATTATTTAATATTTTTAAAACTGAGAAAAAGTGGGGCCTTTCTCCATAAAAAATGATAAGGCAACCTAGCAACCTCCAGTTCTGTTTATGCTTCTAAAATCCCTGATTCAGCAGAAATTTATCTTTGAAAATGGAAGTTGAATGGATGGTGCTATAACACCCCATTCTGCGTTTTCCTTCTTAAAAGACTCTGGTTAAAACTCAATTGTAACTTTGGAGTGTTCTGAGAGTATGGTTTATTTCTTTGCACAGATGTACCATGGAATTAATTTCTACCCAACTGGCTTTCTGTTTCTCTTTTTATTCTTTAAGAAATTCCACAGATTAATGTATTTGGCATTAAATCGTTCTGTTGTACGTAGATCAGTTAAAAAACAGAGCTCAGCTTCCTGTGTGATTCAGTAAAGTTATTGAAATCAATATGGCAATCTTTGGGAAGTGAAAAATAATGAAAATTAAATACCTATAAAGAACAAGAATAACATATAATATTAAAGCATAAAATTACCTTGGTGTTTTGGAAAATTGGAATGTGACACATAGAAGACTTTTACTTAGGAAGGTATATATTATGTATATAAGCTTGCCTAAATGTTTAAGGGGTTTTAAATTTGAATTTTAAATTAACGGAAATTACTATGTCACATTTTTTTTTTAAAAAGAACTTTTCTTTCTCAGAGTGCATTGCCTACCCTTATTTGTTTGCAAAGTGTTGCCTTCCCAGATGTATTCCGAGGCTATTTTTGTGCCTATTAGTTAAACCTTTTCTCAAGGAACTCAAAATATCTTTTATAAGAACATGGCCATTTTATTGCTATAGTAGTTGCCCTATGGAATTGGTTAGGCCAAAAGGCAATACCTGTTTCAGAGTCTCCCGTAGGCCAAAGTTTCCCCAGGTTTTATCTAACAGCTTAATGACAACCCTAAACACACAGCGATATATTTGTACTGCATTTGTTGTATATAAGGGCCAGCACCAAAGACAAAAGTATTTTTGTCCGTGCTGACATTTCTAACCCACACATTTGTTTAAAAGAAAACCAAAGCAGCTTTCTTTTTTCTTTTTCAAGTTTAATCTTCTTATAAGGCATTTCAAGGGAAGAAGCTGATTAGCTAATATTATATTGTATATCTTACTGGGAAGCTGCTGAAAAGCTTCAATGATCCTAAGCTTGAAATCAATTTTCTTAAGTTATGTTCGATATTGAAGATGGAATATAGGAAGCAGGATTTGAAATTTTAAAATACAATCCAAAGGCTATTTTACCAAAGAGCATGTTTCATTGACCTATGGTAGTGACATCTGAATAAATGTGCTTGGGCTGCTACTGCAACTATTATTTTTAAATTAAAGAGGCACCTCGGTACTCAACTACTTCAAAATTCATCGAATTTGGTACTCAATGCGTTTTAAAGCAAAAAATTTGTCCTGGTACTAATTTTTTCCCCAGTACTCAACACGCAAGGTAGAACTTGCTGGCATCCACTGCCTCATGACTGGATACTCCTTCCGGCTGAAATAAAGAGTTATGTGGTAGGTCACGTGGTTTGCTCTGTATTCATTGTTTTTAGTACTCATTGTACCTCCTGGAATGAATCCTGGTTGAGTAACGAGGTACCACTGCATATTGTATTTATGGATTCTGATTGAGTCAAAATTATTACCAGTTGCTAGCCTTCCCCATAATCTGTGATCCTGAGGTCTCCCTTGATGGTTCTGATTTGGAGAGATTGTATACCTTCCCCTGCATCAGTTAAGGATGGAGTAATTTCACTGAGACAGAATTGTTGGATAAACATTAAACAAGTACCTCCCAGTGTCATGGCTGGGAGAAGAACAGTACTATTGACTTGAAAAGGCAGAAGGAAAAATGCTAAGACAGTCCTTTAAACCCAAGGACAGTTGTATTCTGCAACAGACAGAACTGTGTACAGAACCTACTATAATAAGTCTGTGAAGTTTCTGCTTTTTTAAATGAGCATGACATTGAGTTTTGGGAGAGTTGAGATTTATTACCATTCCCATGTGAAATGTGATATTGTGGTCAGAAGTGAATGAACAAGAGAAACAAAGAGCAATGTTTTTAATGCATCTGGGAGGGATCCTCTCTGGAGATTGGATGTCAAGCCTGAAATTGACATAAGTGTAGCCATTTTAATTAGTCTTAGTATATATTCTTTTTCTTACTTTCTCTGCGGTAGTCATGGGGGGAAAGGTTTCGGGCTTGACACATTCCTAAGGGGGGAGGAGTGGAGATAAAGAGAGTTGTTTTGGCTACGTGATCTTTCTTCTCGTGGGAAAAGAGCTGTCCTTGCTGGGGCCCCTTGAGGTGGAGATTCATGACATCAAGCAACGTTAAATTAGTTCTCTTGGAGAATGTGACTTATGGGAGTTGTTTCTAACTTGTAATATTGTGGGGTAATTCAAGGTTGTGTCAGATCCGGAATTACCGTGGACTTTGCCAATTTGATGCTTTCCTAAATAAAAGAAATCTTTTTGAAAGATGGATTTTGTACTTTTCTTTTTAAATGGATTTCATCGCTTGGAAACCTGACACTGGAATTTGCTGAAGTCAGATGAGAAGTCAAAGGAGGACAAATGACAAATTTGTCTACCTATTGAGTTCTTCCCAAGGACCCAGGATAGGCAGATGTGGATGTTTGATGGTGTTACAGATATCGTTGCATGATGGAAGCTGTTCCAAATAAAGCTGCCTTCTGCTATTGACTGATAGTGAATGTGTCAATGCCAATAGTGTTCCAGATTATTATTATTATTATTATTATTATTATTATTATTATTTTTAGTAGTAGAAGTAGTAATAGTAGTAGTAGTAGTATTTGCTGCCTGTCTCACTAAGGGGCTACTCTAGGTAGGTCACAACAATAAAAAATTAAGGACAAAAAAAGGACATTAAGCAAAGCAAGAGTAAAATAATAGAATAAAAGAAACAAGGAAAAAGAAAAAAGAAAGTATATCTAGATATGACTAGAATGCAGATCAGTGTGAAAGCCATTAGCTTAATAGTGAATAGGAAGACAAAACTGTCCCTTGTGGATATCATCTCCAGGCTTTGTGATATTGCAGAGATAAATAGCCATTATGCAAAGTGCACACTTAACAAATGGACCATCATCCATTTCTTATGGCAAATCTTATATTCTCCTCCTACATCCTAATTTTGCAGTAAATATTCATAAGAGGAAAATCAAACTATGGTTGACTATATTTCCTAGAAATTGTTCCTATGACTATTACATAAAGCATAGTATTTTACTTAAACACTTATTCCCTTTTCTGATACATCTTGCACATATTTTGCATAGCTGTGTAATGCTGTTCCTAAACAGACAATTCAAGATTCTGTCATATCCAGGGCCAATAAAGCAATTAATAAACAAAACTACTTTGTCTTCTCTGAATTTTTAAAAGGTATGATCCGAATGCAAAAGGCTACATTACTCATCAAGATTTCATGCAAAAAATGGGTGTGGAGAATATACCTCCCGAGAGTGGCTTCAATAAACCGTTTTCAGCTGATAACTACCCACACTTTATGGAACATTACAAAAGAGATGAAAAACACATTGACATCAATGAAATCATAAATAAGATCAGGTAACTTTTCTTGATCATTATTCTTATATATTTGAGTTGAAGAGGAATGTGTCATCACCAGTGGAATAATTTGGTCATTTCATTGATTTTTCTGGAAGCCCCTTTAAATAGCTTTGTATGTTCTTTTAATGGTGAAGCAAGTAATTAATATTTCTGTTGTTACTTCAGTCAGTGCCATGATAGTATTTCATATTTTTTGGGGTGCCTTCAAGTCAATATTTCATTCCTGGTGACCGCTTGAACTAGTCCCTACAGTTTTCTTGGGAAGGTTTTCAGAAGTGCCTTGCCATTGACGGGTTCCCAGGACTGAGAAAGAGTGACTGGCCCAAGGTCATCCAGTCTGGATTTGTGCTTTAATCACTATACTAAGCTGGCTCTCATTTCATGGTTACATTAGAACAAAAAATAAATCCCAGTTTGCCAGTCCAGATATTGTGCACTATGTACAGGTTTGTATTTTCAATTGACAGAAATCAGTATATCATACATATAATCGGAAATAATTTTGTTTCTACAGCCCTGAGGCAGACACATATTTCCTTGGGTATAAGCCTTGTTTTGCTTGGGAAGAGATTAAAGTCTATTTATGTATATACTATTAAAGATTTGATTCCTATAATCTTTAACTGGGAGAAACTGTGCATCATAGAACAAAAGGTTTTGAACCAAACTACCTCAAATGAGCCAACTTACAGAAAGCCTCCAAAATCCAGGACCCATGGCTCCCATGGAAATGAAATTTGGCATTTTATGGCATAGACCAAACAGTATTTATGACATAATGACAACATGCCATAAAACATTTCTTGTGCTAATGTTTGATTGTGTTATACAGTTCAGCATGGGCTACTTTCAAAGCAGATACATTTCTGAGTGTATCCCAACTTTTTCCAGTAAAAGAAATACATTAGAAGTTCTTCCATTGTTGAAGGCATTGAGGAATCTGGTAAAGCAACATTTATAAAATAATGACCGAAGGGAATTGTCTATTGTTTCTTAAAGAATAAAATGAGCCTCTGTAAATATATGTACACTGAATCCTGCCTAAGTTCGCTCAGATCCTCATATCCAAATATATTTTGCCTTAAATTACTTACCTCTTTGCAGTGCCTGTCCAATTCTCTCATTGTCATCTATCTCTATAATTCTTTACCTTTCAACCTCTTTACTCTCTATATCTCTGTTTATCTACTCTATCCATTAATCATTCCTCTGGTGGCTATTTTCGTAGAAAGAAAGATTTTAGATTTTCCCATTCCTAGAAACATAATTGCAGATATATTTATTTCTGTCAATCTTAAGATGTTATTTCTCAACCTCAGCAACCATGTGGATGCACTTCAACCCCCAGAATACCTCAGTCGGCAAGCCAGCTGAGGAACTGTTAAGTTCACACATGGTGGCTTGGCAATTCTAGGAGCTGAGTCCACATACATCTTAAAGTTGTTGAGGTTGAGAAACACTGATCTAAAAGAAGGCAAAAGATAGGGATTTCTCCAGAATTAATGGGACTTCTCCATTCCCCACAATCCTTCTCTGACCCTATAGCCTCCATTTGTTTCTCTAAGAATTTTCTGGAAACATGGCTGGCACCAACTTGAGGAAAGTTGCTATTTTTTTTCCCTGTGTATTCTCTGTTGGGGTGAAATTTTCTTCCACCCTCATAATGAGTACGGCACCAAAACAATCCAAAGCATTGGTATGATTCAACTTTGAATGCTCCTTATATCATTGTCTCTTCTTTTTCACATATAACTACAAAACCAAAATTGGGCTACCCTATTCTCCTTCATTAAAAATGGAAAAAAAACAAAGAGGAGACTCCCTAAATCATTTTTAATAGTCTTTGTTGTTCTGCAATACAATGGACCTTCCTTCATTCAGCCTCTATAATACAGAGAAACCTTCTGTAAATTGCTGTTCTTCCCATTCTGCCCAAATGGTTTATAAAATACGTTTCTTAGCTTATAGTTTGCTCAGAATTTAGCTGACAAAGGCTTCTGAGAAACTTTGAATTCAAGAAAGAGGCAATCTGGATGTATATATTTTTCTTTTGTTTTAGCTCAAAAGGAACAAATATCCCAAATTAGAAACCTTTACAAAGGGATTGTCCTGTATTTCAAGAGAAATTCAAAACATTGGCAAGTGAAGTGATATTTTTAAAAACATGTTTTGTTTGGGCAGCCTGGCTAAATCCATAGTTTTCAACATAGACTTGGTACTTTGGATTTTCATTTTCATTTTTTTGCCATGATTGGAATAATTACTGCTTGGCAACCATTTACTCAGTCTAAGAAATGGCACACTGTCTTCATTTTCTAAAAATAAAGAGAGAAAGTAGATTTTTTTTTTCATTGTTAGCATGTACTAGATAGTTTTCAGTCAATGCAGCCAGCATTTTAACTTCTTAGGCATGTCTCATGCATCCAAAAAGATACAGGAGTTTTGCTGCTGATGTCATATTGCAGATTTATTTGGTATTTTAAATAATTGTTCCCAACCTTTCTGATTTTGTAGACTGGCAGGAGTGGGGAGGGGATGGTTCCTCATGAGTGGTAGGTAAGCGCATGCACGCAGCTCTATTTATGCAAGGGGTGGCCACACCAGTGGAGCTTTGCACGCGCATGTGTGCCCACTGCTAATTCAAGTGCAGCTGCGTGCGTGCGCATGCGCACACCTGCCATTTCTGCAGCCCGCGGGTTGGGGCCCCCTGTTTTAAATCTTAAGATACTGTTACAAATCAGAATTTACTATTGTTGAGGAAGAGGATACTCAGCATTTATTGATGTTCTTCCACATCTCCAAAACATCTCTAGAAAGGCTGAGCTGAACCGGATTAATAGCAATAGCACTTAGACTTATATACCACTTCACAGTGCTTTACAGCTCTTCCTAAGCAGTTTACAGAGTCAGCCTATTGCCCCCCAACAATCTGGGTCCTCATTTTGCCCACCTCGGAAGGATGGAAAGCTGAATCAACCTTGAGCCAGTGAGATTTGAACTGCCACATTGCTGGCACCTAGCAGTCAACAGAAGTAGCCCGCAGTACTGCATTCTAACCACTGCGCCACCACGGCTCTTAACCATGGCAGCTTGAAAATGTGTGGACTTCATACTGGCTGGGGAATTATGGGACATGAAGTCCACACATCTTCAAGCAGCCAAGGTTGAGAAACATTACCTTAAGTTCTGCAGATGCTGATGGCGTATTTTTTAGCCATTAAACTTCTCGTTACCTATACAAGAGGAGACCCTAGCCACTTTTGGTATGTGGCTTCCATACAAAGCACGGTGTGGTTCTTGAACCAATTGAAGTTGTATACCCCTGAGTGACAGGACGGCATGTATACACATATTCTTTACACAGTCCATCAGCATTTTCCTTATGTCTAATGTGTGATAGAGAGGTGATGTGAGAGAGTAGGAGTTTGTCTCAAGTCACTAGATGACTTGGATGTCTGTGTGAAAGGGGCAATATCCTAGACATCATGAGATGATTATGGAAATTATGTAATGTATGTTGCTTGTGGGATGATGTTGGCTTCTACTGAATATACAAACCATGTAAATTCGCCACTGCTGTAAATTTGAGCACTTCATCATCTCTTGAACTGCCACTTTCTATCCCAGTTACATGATATAACCATTTTCCACTGAAGTTGTAGAAGAGGAGCCTTCTCCTACCTATTCCCTGTTTGCTCTTTTTCCCATCTATTAGAAGAATCTAAGGAAGATGTAACTTCTGGAAGAAAGGCTGTTTTAGATATACAGGCTTAATCAGCTCATCAAGTCAACCAGAGTTTGATCTGTGTTGTAGCCTTTGAAGAAGCTTTGGAAAAATACATTTGAGGCAAAACAGATGCATTTAGTTTCTCTACACGTCACAGAACGTGATGTGGTGTAGTGCAGATTCACCCATGCGACTCCATTACACACATGGATTCTCTACCCACACAGAACAGAATAGCAGAGTTGGAAGGGACCTTGGAGGTCTTCTAGTCCAGCCCCCTGCTCAAGCAGGAGACCCTATACCAAGAGTCTTCAAACTTGGCAAGTTTAAGACTTGTGAACTTCAACTCCCAGAATTCCTGAGCTAACAGGACTGGAGGAGGAATTCTGAGAGTTGAAGTCCACAAGTCTTAAAGCTGTGAAGTTTGAAGACCCCTGCCCTATACCATTCCAGACAAGTGGCTGTCCAGTCTCTTCTCTTGCTTGCTTCTAAGCATTGACAGATTTGTTGCTTGATTATCTTTTCCAGGATCTTCCCAGGTAGTGTCAGGCTGATGCTCTTCTTTCTTCCAACCTCAAACCTGTCAATAAAAGAAAGAAACATTTAGTAAAAGATGCTTCCTTGGAAAGACAAGGACGCTCTTTAACCCATTAATGGCTATCACAAGGTCCACCATGTTCCACTTCTGTG